GGGGGGGGGGGGGGTTAGATGGTTTATTTTGAATATTCTTAAGAGGTTGAAGTACATTGGTATATGGATTTTATGGTGTCTCAGTCCACATGAAACTGAAGTTTTATTGGTTGAGTGTACCTTGAGCATACCTTGAAAATTTGAACAAAATTAGCATAGTAATTAACTTAGATGTACTTGGACATACTTACATAACTATATATATAAGCATATAGTTTTGTTGTTATGTTGGCCACTGGGCTGTAACTGTGTGAACTTGTAGGTAAATACCAGTGTTTCAGAGAATCAAACCACTACATAATTTGAACTGTTATCCAGAACTGGAACTTGCTATGGCCAAGACTTGCACCACAACTATTACAAGCCACCTATAATGGTTCCTCACACACTAAGTAGTTTGCCCATGGTTATGTCTGTGTACAAATCCACATGGTGTCACAGCCCATATGACCAACATGAACATCTTTACCACCATGAGAACCTCAAATAATCACAGTATAAAACAGTCTTATTTTGTGCCTGGTACCTGTTCTTTTTCAGGCTTATGATCAACTTGATGTCTATGAGACAGCTGACTTACCAGAATCTGATCAGAATACTGACTTCTATGAGGTAACTAGCATAGTATGACTTATGAAAGTAGCATTCATGAAGAAATTAAGAGCAGATTTATTTCAGGGAAGACTTAGTAACATTCATTTTAGAATATTTTGTGTTCACATCTGCTTTCAAGAAACACAAAGATAAAAATTTATAATATAGAACTATAATTGTACTTGTTTTTTTTTTATGGCTGTGAAGTTTGGTCTTTCATACTTAAGTTATAAAGATGCACAAAGTACTGCAGAAATTGTCTTGGAACTTTGCTAAGTATCTAGACAGTATTAAATGTCTGACTTTATAGTTTCTATGCCTCCTTTATTTAAAATAGTCATATTTCAGTAACTGATTATGAAATGGCATTGCAACCAAAAGCATGTTTGAAATGTAACATCACAATACTTATTAGTATAAAACTTATTTTTGTGCATGTTTTACTGTTTTAAAAGGTAAAGATCAATTTGATCTATCATAATTATAAAAGTTTATTAAAAAGCAGATTATATGCAACAGGAAATGTTTCAGCTCTCATTTCTCTAAGCTTGCAACATGGCATGACAAGATAATGCACAGTTCGGAGTTTGTGGCACATTTGCAAGTTGTCACCTAGACCAGGCCTACAGATCTCAGTGTTTACAGCAGAACTTTGTGTTATGAGTAGGTATCATATTTAGAAGCAGCAGTACCACGGTGGTCTAGCGGTTAGAACGCTGGCCTTGTAATAACGGTGTCTCGGGTTCGATTCCCGGCGGTGCCCGAATTTATAACTTGTGTTGGGCAAGGCCGTGGTCTAGGCAACACGGAGTTTTCCTCCGTGGCATCCCAACAATTACTCCATTCACACACAGAAGAAGGCAATGGCAAACCACTTCTGGATCATCTGCCAAGAACGTATATGAACAGGTCCCAGTCCGAGAAAAGGATGGAAGGATCCTGTTCATATGGACCTGTCGTCAGACAGAACACTAAATAATAATAAAGACCTTTAGGTCATCTGTGCAATAGAATTTCATGAATAGTTGAACAACTCTTAACTTTGTGCAGTTTGTTAATTATGAAAAATTCCAGATATTTCCATCATAAAGCAAGAATAAACCCATATGCATGTAAATACAGTGTCTCCCATTGTTATAACAGCTCAGAATTGGTGGTCTGAAATTTGTCACTCGTTATAATGAATTCTTCTCATGCTACCAGCTGTGCCAGGTGGTTTAATGGAGAAAATACCAACATTTCGAGAGCCATCTTTGTTCTCGTCTTCAGATGGTTCCTGAAACATTGGTCTTCTCTTCATTAAATCACCTGACACGGCTGGTAGCACGAGAAGAATTCATTATACGTAGTCACTGTGAAAGTTTAGATCAGGGGTCGGCAAACTACGGCCCCGCCGCCTCTTTTTGTACGGCCCGCGAGCTAAGAACGGATTTTACATATTTAAATTCTTTGAAATTTCAAAGTATGTTCTATAACGAAACGGCCGAGTTGAGTAGTTGAGAGAAAGAATTCTATAAATGTCTTCCAAGCGATGAATACGGTCAATTGAGATCACATGCTCGAGGATTTATATCTGTATTTGGCAGCACCTACCTGTGTGAAAAGACATTTTCAAAGATGAAATATGTAAAATCTCAATACAGGTCAGCGTTAACGGATGAACATTTACAATCAAATTTGATGATAGGGAGTACTGAATTTAAACCTCACTTTGATGAGATGTTATCTCATAACAGGCAATTCCATTCTTCTCAGTAGTAGACCTGTATTTCAAACAATTGTAGTCTACTCATTATTATTATTACGTTACATTTTGTTCAATAAATTTGTTAAAACTTGGTTTTTTCTTGTTACATAAGTAGGCTTACCTATATAAGTATCCTCCAGTTTGCCTCTTGGCCCGCAGAGCCTAAAATATTTACTATTTGGCCCTTTAGAAGAGATGTTTGCCGACCCCTGGTTTAGATAATTATCACTATTTTATCTCTGATTTCTTTTTGTGCATTCTTGATTCTCAGGCTTCCAACATTTTGATTGATGTAGGTTATGTTTCTGGCATATTGACTGTATGCTGAGAACCAAGACTACACAATTAAATTAATCAATTTTGGGTATTTGATTTTCATAGGATTTGGGGTATATGAAGTTTTAATGGCTGTTATGAATTACAGTGTGGGGTGGAAAAATTGACAATTAATATAAATTTAATATGAAAGCCGTTGTTACTTTCATCATTTATATTAATTGGGAGAAGCCTATTTCATATATCTGTTCTTTGTTGTAGGAAGAATCTGACTCCATTGAACGCCTTCATATCAGTGCCAGTGAAGCATTCAACAGGTTCAAAGGAAAAACATTGGATGCTAAAGGAATTGACTTTTCTGATCGATTAAGTAAAAGATTGCGGACAGGATATGATGCCAGGTATATGGGATGAATGATTTCATCACGATTCCAAATGTCCTTAATTCCTCCCATATTGAGAATTATTATTTTTTTTATTATTAGTGTTCTGTCTGACGACAGGTCCGTTTACTCGGCAGATGATTCAGAAGTGGTTTGCCATTGCCTTCTTCTGTATGTAAATGATGATGAATGTGAAGTAATTGTTGGGATGCCACGGAGAAACCGGGGAAGCCCTGGAGGAAAACTCCGTGATACCTGGACCACGGCCTTGCCCAACACAAGTTATAAATTTGTACACCACCGGGAATCGAACCCGAGACCCCAGGATTACAAGGCCAGCGTTCTAACCGCTAGACCACCATTGCGGTCATATTGAGAATAGACAAAATTATTACGCTTTACTTTCCTGCACATGCCCTGTGGCAGTGTGCATGGAAATATGCATGAAAAGCAAATTTGCCCTGTACTGTTTTGAACTATTATTTTTTCTTTCTCTCATCCTCTTTTACCCATAGGTGTAAAGGTTTTTTATTTATTTGATTGATCTATTTGGACAATGGTAGGACTCCTTGGATGAGTGATCAGCCCGACACAAGGCCTCCGCCTATACAAACACAGAAAGACGCAGACAAACATCCATGCCTTGAGTGGGACTCGAACCCATGGTCCCAGCTGCCAGGCGCACGATATCCATGCCTCAGACCGCGTGGCCACTGCGGGCGGCATGAAGTATTATTAAAAGCAGTAAATTATTACAGTAATTGCTCGAACATGCCACTGTCTTCTTGTAGCGAGTTTAATTAGCAGTAATTTGCTACTATATTTGTTCTGAGTGGCCAAGTTCTTCTCTTAGGCAAGAAATTGAATGATGAGGACTGGATGAACCGTAAATGGGAGGAAACCTTAAATTGAGGAATGTTGACAGTTTCACTTTATACCAACTTCTCTGTGTGTCATGTTTCTAATAATTTTGGCACATGTTATTTCAGATCTGGAGATTGGGAGTTGGTTGGAAGTGGGGAGAAGGAAACCCCACTCCAAAAATATCAGAGACTTCAGTGTGAGATGAAGGAACTGGTGGAGGAAGTTGCACATTTGAAAGTGAGAAATTGATCTTTGTGCACATTTATGGGTCATGGGGTATTAGATAGATGTGTTTTTGTCCCAAGAGACTTTTTATTGTATTTCTCAAAAGCAGCTCATGAAAGTATGTTCATGATTGACTTAGGTTTTCACTCTGTAATTATATAAATTTCTTTACTTTCCACATTTTAAATTTGTGACAATTTATTATGTTGGTGTAAAACATTGTGAAATGGTTGTATACGTTTCAGAAGAAGATATTTTATGTCATATTTACTTGTGTATAACAGATTTTGAAATAAATAGGGTATAGGTAGTAAGAAAATAATTAAATTAAAAGATTACGTACTATGAGATGTCTGAAGATTAGGTGTGCGGATTTAGCATTTATTGTTACAGTTGGGATTTTATGATGAAATTGGCCCAGTGCAGTCATATTTCAAGGCAGTCTGATGATGATGATTCTTGGAAGAGTTTCTTTCAAAGCAACAAAAAATAAAAAAAATTGTAATTATAAATATTTTACACATTCAGGTTGTCTGAATGCATTTTTGATTTGTCGGTTTCTGTACTCATAATAGAGTGACACTAAAAATATTAGGTGAAGAATACAAATTGCAAAATGACGTAATATTTTACTTGTTCCTCTTACTTACAACTCTAGCTTCAAGTCTGTTACACATCCTGTTCTTGATCAATGTTAGATTGAGATGACCAAGTTTCATATCATTTACTATAACTGGGATACTGGGAACGACCCGTTCTTCAAGTGCCTGAGCGCTGCGGGTCCCAACTTTTTGTTGGCCCGATCTATAGACATTCGGTAGGACTCCTTGGATGAGGGGTCGGCCCGTCGCAAGGCCTCTACCTGTACACAGGACAGCACAACACAGATAAACACGGACAAACATCCATGGCTTGAGTGGGATTCGAACCCACGGTCCAAGTGGCACAAGGCCCACGCCTCAGACCGCGCGGCCACTGCGGACCCCTCATTTACAATAACGGGAAAATCATAGTTTTATGTATTTCGACGAAAGTTTCTTATTAAAGAAAGTAATTTTTAAATTAGTAACTGGAAAATAAATTTAAAGGAACAAAGATCTGTGGTAGCAGTGCATTTTCAATCACATAGGTCTGGTTGGGTATTCATTATGTTTGTGTAATGTCCTTAGGACACGGTGAAAGATGAAAGAAACCTGGAAAGCATGTCATCTGTGCTGCTATGTAGTCAGGTAGAGGACGTGCAGAAGCGGCTGGCTGAACTGTGTCTTGAAGAGGCTCTGGGCTCTGAACTCATCACAAACTTAGCAGATCCTCAAGGATCCCAGCTCAGGTAGTGTGTCGTCATCAGCAGAGAGCACTGCTTATCGTGTGTTTGTAGATCTCATTAAAAAAACTAAAAAATAATGTTAGCTATGGCTTTTCACATGCCTCAGGTGAATAGTCAAACAAATAACTGTTACAATCACATGTTTTGTCTTGTTTTCTAAGCAGAAGATGTTCATGCAATGTAAATATTCTGGTAGTACTAAATTCAGTAGAGCCATTAAAATTTAAAATTGGGAAGTGTTAGAAAGAAACTGAAACATGTTTATGAAGTGGAGGGTCTGAGGATTTCATGACAGTGTGAGTTAAGATTGTGATCCGTTTTTCTGCACTTTGTTATATGTAGTAATTTTTATATTTATTTACCTAAGTTATAAAATGTCAAAGCCTTCAAAATCCTTTAATTGATCTCATTTTGAATCTTGTTTCCCTTCACCATGCTTCCCAAGTAGACAGATTTATCCGTTTCTTAAGCGTCTTTTCCATTTATTTTTATTTCAGCGTGGTTTCACTCATTTTCTCAAGAATATTAACATTGTTCTCTTTTTCTAGGTTTATTTCTAGTCCATATTCCCTGCTTACTTTTCCCATTGGCTTAGTCTTCTCACAATTTCACCACATATGATATCCTATATTTTTCTCTGATTTTTTTACAGTTTTAGTATTGATTGTAAAAAATTGAATATGTGAGATTTGGCTGGCTTCCAGCATTCATACAAAGTCTCATGAAAGAACAGTCAAGAGGTTGAAAAGGGGAGGCAGACACACACAGACAGACAGCATAGTGATCACATAAGCCTTCTTTTTTCCTTATTGAAGGAAAGTAGGCTGTTAAAATTATGTTACAGCAGCCTGCATAGTTCATAGTGCGCATTTGGTGTGCCAGAATTGTTTCTTGTACACGTATGCCAGTGATTGGGTTGAGGTGAAATAAGGCTAATTCAGAACCTGTGTCGCAGGAGGTTGTTTGCGCAGTTGGAAAGCTTCAAGCTAAGTGGTGTTCCATCTGACAAGCCAGGGAAGACAAAGACTGAACCTGGTGTAGCTGGACAGAGTGATACAGTGACATATGAACTCACCTATCGACCAGAGCAAGCACATCTCGTTCAAGTTTCTCGTGTCGCTGACTTAGAGCAGAGACTGCATAAGCTGGAGACCATATTAGGAGCGACTTCTGACAAAATGGTACAGTTACCATCATTGCAGTTCAGAATATCAAACTGTTGTCATAACCGTTCTGTGTGAAATATGGAAAATGTCGTACAACACCGCTTGTAGAACAATTGTTATTTGTCCTTACTCAACCCATGCCTCATATGATGAATGCGAGTGACACGAGTTGTGATTCCCAGGCACGTTTATCACTGGACACCCAGCACAAGAGTCTGGTAGAGGTTGCGCAGCAGTTGAGCGCAAAAGCGAACCTCTTAGATTCTGCACAGTTGGACCATATTGAGGGCAGACTTACTGCACTTGCCCAGAAGATGGACAGTATTAATGAGAAGACCGCAGCCACACCTGAGGACGCCGAAAGGAATCAGAAGGTACGTAGCAAAAGTGCTGAACATTCTGTAGTGCTTGTCAGCTGTTACAAGGGATCATAACGTGAGAACGAATAGTATTTGGAAGTATAAACGGATTTTCACTTCATGCCGTGTCATTTTGTGCTGAATCTGATGGTGCATCATTGGCGCTGTTATTTATTGTATTGCAGGTGAATGAATTATATGAATTGGTGAAGAAAACTGAAACATTGTCCCAGATTTTGCCTCAAACCTTGGATCGTTTGTTATCCCTAGAATCTCTGCATATACAAGGTAATGTATGCCCTTTCTTGTAATGCACCTACTGGCTGTATAATACCTGCTTAGACTAAGCAATACTTTCATCTCTCAGTCACATCCTGTCTGCAGATAATATTCTGAAGGTTATCTATTTTAGCAAACATTACAGTTGCCATCTTCAGATTGAATGTGTATTAGTTGGGCTTTGCTATAAGCCTTATATAGGGCCCGCTGTATTGTGGCGTGTGGGATGTGAAGAATCTGGCAGATTGGACGAACTGGCTGCTGCCTGATTCGTGATGAGCATGTGGTTGAGGACAAGAGGTGAAGAAAAGTTCTGTAAGGGGAGAGGTGATGAAAGGATTTCAGTGACTATGTGGGCAAGACAAGAAGTTATATGTTTTTCTTTCTTTCTCCATTTGGGAGTGGGGGAGGGGCATGAAGTTGGGAGACGTTATGAAGAATGGCTCTTTTCTGTCACGTCACAGGAGAAGTCTTTTCAGACCTCTTATCCTATCCATGCACCTGCTTAAATCCTTTTCATCACCTCCTTTCCTGATTCACACAGCCACTAAAACTTTTTGTCACCTCTTCTCACAATTTGTCTCTTAAAAAATTTTTCTTCACCTCTTTCCACAGTTACATGCTCATCACTACGCAGAAAACAGCCAGCTCTTCTGCTCTGCCAGTCACATTCATTACATCCCACCTGCCCTATATAATATTTCCAAAAATTCCTAACCAATGCACATTCAGTCTGAAGATGGCTACTGCAATGTTTGCCTAATCATTGGCTAATCTCCAATAACTGATGAAGCTCGTCCCCCAAAAGCTGAAGTTTTAGGATACAATAAGAGATATTTTATTCCCATTTCCACTCTGAATTTATAATCGCAGATTCAGGAATGATGAGGTGAATATGTACAGTAATTTCATGTTATAAACACAGTGTTTTGTTTTCATATGCTGGTTGTAGCTGTGGACTTCAAAAAATCTTTGACCCAGCTGGAAGCTCTGCAGCAACAGATCATAAGCAATCTACAGGTCAATGACACCGTTTTGAAAGATGTCCAAGGAAACTTCAGTCAGAACTTGGATACAATTAGAAATAATATAAGCAGATTGGAAGCTCGCATTGCTGTTCTGAACAAGAAATGAGTGCTAAAAAATGCTTTTATTGTTAATGGGTTTATTTAATAATAACAAAAATATATAATATGCTATATTCAAGCTATTTATAAACACATTAAAGTGGATGAGAACTGAAATTAATGTTGTGAGCTTTAGGTCTTTATGCAATATCAAGCAAATTTCATGGTGTGCAAATTTCAGGAAAGAAATGTACCATCATCACGTGTGCACTTCTTTTATTTTAGCAGGGACAGACAAATTCTTTTAGTTTATAATGATAAAGTTGTAAAATGTTTTAACATTTCTAATGCCTGCTTAATATGCACTCTTGAAAACATAGGAGGATGGAGATTGATCTGTGAAGCTAAGTCTTATTCCTGGTGTTCACACTGCATATGGCAGAATTAGTTTGAAAATGTTCTTGGTTATTTACAATGAAGTTCATTTATGAGAATATGTATTTACATGGAAGAGATATTAATCTCTTACACAGACTTCTGTATGAATTTCTAGGTTTGACATCAGCCCTTAATCTAAAAATTTTCTTTTGTAAAGTGAATATCTTTTTGTTGTTAGATGAGTTACCCAAACAATTATTCCATATAAGATTTGGGGTTTTCACAGCGGTGAGTATGAAGATTTCTGTCTTCTGGGTTGTTGCGCTGTGTAGTCTGGTCGATGTCAACCAACGTCATCAGGGCAATAAGCATCGCCCTGATGACGGAGGCAGTATGACCTCTGAAACGTTGGTTAACATCGACCAGACTACACAGCGCAACAACCCAGAAGACAGAAATCTTCAATTATTCCATACTTCCATATAAAGTGAAAATAGGCAAAGTAAAGTTACTTGAGTGTTGCTGACATACAACATAGATATAACTGTGTAACATGTTCCAGTATGATTTGTCCAGTTAAGGTGGTTATGAATTTACAAACCCAGGAATTTTGTGTTTACTGACTTTTGTACATACTTTCCATTATGATCAATACTTAAAGCATGTTGTGGTGAGTTATGTGTTATAAATGTTATATTTATTTCATCTAGATTTAGAGTCGGCTTATTAGCAGTAAACCATTTACTCATATGAGAGAATTGTGATGTATGCCTGTGCTCAATTAATAACTTGATTATGCCTTTAATAAACTTATATTTTGTGTGATCTTAGCTGTGATGTGTGTTTGCCATTAATAAATGGATAATGATTGTAAGGTTTGTTTCAGTTCAGTTTCAACCTAGAGTTGAACTGACTGAACAACTTTACCAACACTACCGTCATTTATTCTCTTTCAGTGATATGTATAGTCTCTACTTACTTCAGTTTCTCATAGGAACTTTAGGTTGGTACCTGTAGTATTGGCTAGTTTTTAATAATAAGTCTGATTTTACTGAGGAATTTATTCTGAATTTCAAGGATATCAGAAGATTGAGACATTAAACCTGTTGTTATTCACTTTCATTCTTGACACGTTAGTTCATCTGCAATACCAGATTTTCCTTTTTGTTTGCTTTGTGTGAAGTATGAGTGGGGAGTGAAATTGCATAGTAGTTAACCTTCTACAGACTGGACGATACAGGTGCGACACAAGATTTTTCCTCTATTTGCATCTAGACCAGTTGTGGGGCCCACCCAGCCTCCTAACCAATGGGTACTGGGTTCGTTCCCAGGGGTAAAGCAGGGCTGGGTTTTGATGCTGACCACTCTCTCCCATCCAGTGCTGAGGTCAGGAATGAGTAGGAGCTATACTACTCTCCCAACAAGGCGTATAGTGGGACAGCTTTACTTTACTTTCTATTACACATAAGACTACTTTCAAACAATTGAATGCTCTTTCAACCACAGGTAACCTACCTAACACTGTTTACAATTAACATGTGTGTTACGACCACAGATAATACCAATGTTATGACTTTGTTGATGGGGTATAGATCGCAGCACAGGCGTCCCAACAAATTGGAATTATTGTTTAATGATGTATTGGTATTACCTATGATATGTGGTATTGTGGGTTCGCGATTTGTATTGGTTTTTGAGCGGCAATGATTATTGTAAATTGCTGATTTTTACCGATTACTTGATAAAAGACACACAGTGAATTGTCTTTCACAAAGTAAATATGCCGACATGGAATCAGATTCAGTCACAATTACGAAATCCGAACAATCCTGTAGTATTTTTTGACATAAGCGTCGGTACGACTGTAAGTAATGCATACAGGTTAGCAGGTGTCCTAAGTTATACAAGAAAGGCTGAAAGCCTCCAGTTCATATTATAAGCCATTTTCGTTATTGACTGTGTTTCCAAAATACTTGAGCAGGTTATGCCCAAACTAGTAACGCACAGATTAAACAGAAATAGTAGTTTGACTAATGAACAGCTTGGTGTTGGAAGAACGTGTCCATTAACAAGGCTAGAGTCAAGCTCCAAAAAACATTGTACTTCATATACTTTCAATCAGTCATGACCTGTGATGATGATCATGCAGCAGTCTCTGAAGAACACAATGTCATTTGGCTAAAAATTCTGAAGTTTATATTGGATTAAAACATGAGATTTGGGACTCAAAATTGTCAGTGTGATGGACTGAAATTTTAAAGTTTAGTTTTCCATTAATCATATGATATCAGACAGTTTTTTGAAGAAAATAATTCTGAAATAAAGTAACCAAACTTAATGAATTTAACAATGTATTTTTTACATTAGTGTTTTGTGTACAAGCTACAATTTGATTTTCTACAGCTGTAGATATCCTTGAGTTCATATTTGTTTACTTTCTAACAATCATATATACAGAGAGCACTGGTCTGATTTGTGCAAATAACCCTAGATATCTCACGTTAATCACTGACCTCATGGTCCCTGCTTTGAAACCCTTCCCAGTCATAAACTCACAGATTCCATTGTGAATCCTGAGGAGTGAGGAAGTGTGATGGAGATGGTAGAAACAAATATTTGTAAATAGTAAGATAAATAACTTTCATAATACTTACGTTTTCATTCAGTTATACTGCATGTCATTGTATCATCATCAGCTTTTCTTATTTACTCTTCAGGAATACTTTTTTATTGTAGGCCAAAGTTTGAAATAACTGATAAATCACTTAATGAAGAACAAAAATTAATATCAGCTTTAAAAACTAAAATAAATCATCCTCAGTTACACACAGTTAACCATACTGTTGACAAATATATACCAAGCTTCACCAAATGGCATAAAAGCATAATATTTTCACAATTTTTAGTAAAGAAAGAACATACTTTGAATGTTGGTGAATTCAAGAACATGTGTTGAAAATGGGGGGGTGGGGGGGAGTGGAGATAGAAATCCTTTGTGTGTGAGCACTGTTATTACTTAGATCTAAACCTGTTATTTTAATATTCTTTTTTATTATTGAGAAGTGTGACTCTTCAGAGTGACACCATGTAGTTTTACTTAACAGTTTAAGAGTCCCTGGCACAATGTAAATCTGAAACAGATGGCAGTCACGTAATCTTTGGTACATAGAGAGCAATGCTGTATGATGTGAGGTATTAACACTATAATGCAATGAAACTTCATCACTTCCATAAAGTATTTCTTATGTTATTTAATCATGTTAGCCTGCATTTCCCCAAGTCTTCATGTCTTGGCACTTATAGAGAGAGCTGTATATAACGTAAAGTTTGGAGAGTGGAAGGATGTTTATGAATGGTGATTTTGAAGGAGCGTGAAGTGAAGGATCTGTGTGAAGAAAATAGCAAAACCACACAAAGCAGTTTAGGCGTATAGAGTTAGCCTACAGCTCTTATAAATATAATTATTGGTTGACTTATTCTATTCCTAATATTGAAAGTATTTTTAAATGCTGCTTTAGGTGTATGTATTTTCATTTTGAGTAGAATTAGAGAAATAACTTGCAGAAGCAGTTAGTTATCTGATCATTAATTTCCTGTGATGCCACGTATTGGGCATACATGGTTTTAGCTGTCACCACCATACACATATTCTTAACCGAGGCTTGTTTTTCTTTCAGGAAATTGGACGAATGATACTTGAATTGTTTGCAGATGTTGTACCTAAGACATGTGAAAATTTCAGAGAATTTTGTACGGGGGAGTATCGAAGAGATGGTGTGCCTCTTGGTTATAAGGGAGCAATATTCCACCGTGTTATCAAAGACTTCATGATTCAGGGTGGAGATTTTGTAAATGTAAGTAATAAACAGAAATAACTTAGCATTACACTAAAAGTCACAAGGTAAGATTAGTGGTGATGTGTAATATAAAGAATGCACAGAGAATCAAATTATGTGAAACAGGCCATATAACTGACATGCACAATAAACTCCTATCATGCGGTTACAAATCCCCTGCTTTTGTTGCACCACCTTCGAGATTCATTTTTAGGTGTTCAGGTCATTCAATGTCACGTCATCACAGTGCACTACCTGATCTTAGATTTCATTGAAAGTTGGCGTGTTTGTGATCACCAAAGAAATTAGTAATCATGAAAAATTTCAGTGCCCTATGTCTTGCAGTTTATGTGGTGCAGGGGTGTGAAAATCATAGATATTCTATATTTTGGCATGCTGCCTCTTTTGTTCTGTATTGGCTACAAAGATAATTATTTTCTAAGTAGTTTATTATATTTATAATTATCCATTTACAGCTAAGTACTAGTCAATTGGTTGAGGCTATAATTTAGCATATTCTTTATTTTATTTATTGAAATGTTATAATAGTAGTGCATTTAATGTTAGAGGGTGTGTTTTAAGGTATTTTGTAAGTGTGGTGGGATCACCAGAGCTCAGCCATTACTACTCCACTGCTTTTAATTTTTGAAATATCCATGTCTTCATAACAGGGTGATGGTACTGGAGTGATGAGTGTCTATGGCGGAGGAACATTTGCAGATGAGAACTTCAACTTGAAGCATGACGCTCCTGGTTTATTGTCAATGGTAAACTCTAGAAATTGCATGTTCCCAATGAATTTAATCAATTCCAGTTTTTGTAGGGTGTTCGTACCAATTTTCAGATGAAATACTGAGAAACCAGTGCGATTTTCCATGTATCAGATGCTGAATTATATATTGGGCCATATGGATAAAGTGAGCAAATGCTTTTACATTATTTCTTTTTTTAATATTTTCTCCATCATGTTTTAATAGGGAATGTTTCTGTTCTATTCGTACACCTAGTTTACGAATCATATATTTTACATTTTCTGTACAGGTAACTCTCGGTTTACAAACGAGTTCCATTCCAAGACGTTTGTTATGTGTATGCTTTTACGATATGTATTGTGTACGTTAGTAGCCATTTTGAAGCATTAAAACCATGTACTAAACATCGAATGGTCTATACAATATGTTTACAATACAATATATTATAATAGGGGGAATCACCGATTTCTTTCCCACGAGAAAACACTCTATGCGGCGTGGCATGTAAACTTTTTTTTTTACTGGCTAGATTAGTTTTAATAACCAAGAACAGTTCAGTATAATTATCATATAATAATTTTCAGATAATTATTGTAATAAATATATTTTTTAAAAGTTTATTTATTTAAGTCCTACAGTTATGTTAACTGTACATTTGGCATTTTGTTTTATAAGGAACTCTGTTTATTGGCGACTTTGAGAAATTTTGAATGAATTATGACGTTCGTTATAGCGAATGTTCATAAACCGAGAGTTGCCCGTATTGTAATAGATTCTCAAAAATGTTGTTGAAATATATTAAGTTTTCCAAAGCTCCAAGTTCCTCAGTTTTCATTTTTGAAGTTGTACAGCTTTGACAGCCTTTAAGGAAAATTTCTTAATAATATAGTAAGAAATGTTAAATACTGTTGTGTTTTTAATCTTTTACATATTATTTGTCATTTAACTATCCTGTGTCCATTATTGCACACACATATCACTTTGTAGATGATTTCACAGATACTACACAGTATGTAGTGCAGGCTGTGGTGAAGCACGGCAAATCTCAACCTGCTTTTATCCCTGTAACACACGTTTTTATAGGAACGGTAAAAATTATTTATAAAACCAAGTGTTTCTGTTTCTATCTCTTGTTAGAAATATTTGCTTCTACTTGAAACTCATGCTGTGAACTGTTTCCCTATTTTTGACGTAAATACGTCTATACGGAAGGGTCATTCGGCAAAACAACGTTAGGAAAATGTGTAAGGTCAACAATGTGTAATAATGATTTACTCCTTTACCTAAGAAACAAATTGTTATGTCATCTGTTTATTCGGCATTGTTCTGTTTCATTACTGCTGTCAACAATCTGATTTCGTTATTGTGGAAAGAGCTGAGCTGTGAATGTGTAAGAGAATTAGGCTTGTCTTCTTTTGACGTAAATACGTCTATACGGAAGGGCCATTGGGCAAAAACAGCGTTAGTGACGAAGATGTGTAAGGTCCAGCGCCGAGTCACCTTTAAACGTTCATTCCTCAGGAATGGTAAGAGTAAGGGTAATGTAACCTCTATGTAAAATGATCAGTAAATAAGGACCTTTAAGAATGTGTTATGTATTTTATTGTAATTATAATTGTTTATACATTTATTGTAATTTTAATGAACCAATGTGTACAATTTTCAATGCATCTGGCGCGGTAAGCGCCCGCCTCTCGAGCTATCCATATCTGTTTTCAGATTTTACATATCACAAACGGTTTAGGTTTTGCAAACATTTATTCATACAAACAAAGGCGCATCGCACTTCACGCTACTGCTGCGTTTGCGTATATATGTCAGATTCTCCGGAACTGTGGTTCAACTGTCAATTTTTATTCAACTGGCCCATTGACTGACTGCCTGATATAAGTCCTTTCATGAGCAGATGATAGTTACTGTTGTGATCAAGATTTGGCATATGTTTCTCTGACATTAAGTGAAATCAAATAAAATTGAATCTGTGTATAGAACAGAAACAAATAGGTAGGGCCTGAATATTAAATAACCAGGGCCTAAATAAATAAGAAGTTGTGCATCTTTAAGAAATGTATTTTGGATCATGTGGTTATTTTATGGAGAGCGTCGAAAACCGGGTACAGAATATGTCTTAGCATGTAATGCTTCTTGCTTAAAAGAAACATTTTTGTTTTTAATCAGCACATTTTCTCTTTCAGGCAAACAGTGGTAAAGATACAAACGGGTGCCAGTTTTTCATTACATGTGCAAAGTGCAACTTCTTGGATGGGAAACATGTTGTGTTTGGTAGGGTCGTAGATGGACTGTTAGTGATGAGGAAAATAGAAAACGTTCCTACAGGTCCAAACAACAAACCAAAAATTCCAGTTGTCATATCACAGTGTGGCCAAATGTAAGATGCTTTGATAGCATTTTTAAACTAAAAATAAATGGAAATTTCTTATAGACTTAACCAAAACACAATAAATTAATAAAGACTGATGTTATCCAGAATTATAAATGTCATGTTTTGAACTATTCCTCGTGTAAAAATGAAGATCAGAATCCCACATTTAATTACATACTAATTTTGTGGAGGATTTTCCTGTTTGTCATAGTCACCATTGATTCCTATATCAGTCATAATAGGCTCACCAGTTTTCTAACATTCATTTTAATATTATCTTACCAACTAAGAATTGGTCTCCTGTCTGCTATGAATGCTGCATGCTCATTCCATCTGTGTTCTTAATTTGATCGTCGTAACTTATGCAACCAAGAACCTCACTGCTGTATGGATTATAATTTATTAGCAACTTCTGAACTATATATCCATACAAAACAAATACACAAATCTGTTACTGGTTTATGAAAATATTAACAAAGGATTTAAAATAATGCAGTCATCAGAATTAAATATGTGCCTCACAATTTTTACATCCAACATATGCAAGAAGACAACTCAAATACTACCTATTGACAAGAGAATTACAAACTATGATGTATTATTATCAAGAGTTAACTGACAGGATACCCAATTTCTGGGTTTTAACAGATGCCTTACCAAAACGATTGGTAGCTTCACGCAGAAAGGCATCTTCCATCTGCCTTACCACTTCATTGAAAAAGACATGAGCTAGATGAGAGTGTAGAATGGAACGGAATTCAAAGGACACTAGAAAATCTATTATGCAGCTCTGAGGATTTCCTTTCAGTCCAGGATTAAATTTCCATTCAGTCAATAAGTGGTTAAATAACTTCCCCTCCATGCCCACAGCCTTTACAAGGAAGGGTTTGCAAAGTGTAATACTAGATGTATAACTCTCTTGGATAGGTGGAAAGCCAATCACAAGATCAGCTCTCATGTGCTCTGGCCCCCTAGTCCGCACAATTGATTTTTTGCAAAAGGGAACAAATTTCTTATAGTTTTCGACATCAGCAACTACAGTGTACATTTGTTCCATGGAATACCTGCAATGATAAATGTAAAAATGATCCACATTAAATTATTTTAATACTTTGTAATGTTTTCTTTCCTAGTGCCAAGGTTAAGAATGAGTATTAGCTACACACCCTCTCCCCCCAAGCACCTACATGGCATATAGTGGGACAGCTTTAGCCTAGTTTAGTATAATATCCTGATCTTCAAGTAAGTAGACTTAAGAAAAGTCACAAAATAAAATGTCTGACCAATCAACCACTACATCTGATGCAAGAACCTTCCTAAAATATTCTACAATTTATTTTCAAGAACAGAATAATAGTCTACAACACTTGCTTCTTACCCCACAAGTTTCCTGCCAGCATATTCCTTCTTCTTGTCACCAATTCCTGACCTACTGAAGAATGATCGGAATGGTATAGCAACGGGAATTTCTGTTATTCCACATTTGTTTTTTACTGCAGCATACGGATGAGAGAGTAGATCTGGCTCTTGTTTGTCTAAGCTGCAATATACATTTTGTATTTATGACCAACAGCAAAATTGAACTGTACTGACTGGCAAATAAATATGACTTTCACACAACAAAATCTATTAAAATGGGAATGCCAGTCATCATTTAAGGATATGCTTTTTTTTTTGTACACATTGTCAGCAGTAATGAGGGCAGTTTGTTATTGACAGGAACTAAAGTGTGTATTAAATCAGTTCCCTAAACACTAAATTAAAATGTTTTATTTCAATGCAAAGGAGATGCTTTCAACCAGAAAAATGGAAATCAAAATGTCATGTGTACTCTTTGCCACATACTACTGGGATGGTCATATCAAGGATGAGATAGGAAGGTAATATAGCATGTATAGAGCTGGCTGGGAAGGCTGAACAGATGAGGCCACTCAAAAGACTTTGGCATATATGGGAGGATAATATTAAAACGTTTCATGAAGAAAGTTTGGGAAAATGGGCGGGATTCGTGAACAGGATATGAATAGGCAGTGACCTCTTGCGAACACAGTAATGAGTTTCTGTGTTCCATAAAAAATCTACAGATCTGACTAATTCTGATATTATCAGCATCTTAAGTACTTCGGTTCATGGGTTTGGTTAAGGGCGGCGGTCTTCACGATTATTCATGCTCTGCCTTCAAATGAATGTGTTCTTGTGAGACATGCACAATGGTTACGTAATTCACATAAAATATTACGTTCAAGTGTGGGAAGCATACCTATTGGTTGACATATTTCTATGTTCGTGGAAACATCTACTAACTATTCGCCAAGCAACACAACTTTTTCTAATTGTCATGACGAACTAGCGGCATTTCTTTCGACACTTGCAGGTTCATATACTTTCTTTACGGAATCCTTGTTTGCTACCTCACGCTAGCTCAGTTGTGCTTACTACACACCGTGCTTTTATCATCTATGCCACAGATCAATTGTTAAACTCATGCGAAATTACGTGAACTCTGGTACAATCACAAGTTATACAATGTGTGTCTGTAAAGGAAAAAGAAAGTCAAATGAACATGTATGAGATATGACAATAGCGAGTGTGGTCTTCAATTCTATTTGAATCAATTCTTGGAGCAACTCAAACCTTCCTTTCCAAATTTCACTAGCGGTGGATTACCCCAGTTTAATCGCTGGTAAAAGCATAGAAAACAGTAAAAGTATATGCGTCTGAAGGTACTCGCTCAATGCACGTAAGTTGGCAATCTTGTGTATGAAGGTTTTAACAAAATGGATACGATACCAAGAACTCATGAAGGTGAGTAAATAATAATAAATTTAGTGGTTTTTCAGCTCCAAATTGTCCAATCCAAAACTGTAAATTAATAGTGGAATACTTGTAGTTGTAATGAAGCTTATAATACAACTTGGAATGTGTATAATTGATGATTCACAAGTATGGGTTTTGTGTAAAGGAACATCCCGTGTCATTGATTTCATTTCAGATATTGAAGCACAAATCCGGGATCTTCAGTCCCGGAAGAAAGATCTTATTGAAGAAATGAAAGAGAAGGAACGTGTTGGTCTTGGCGAAAGTGGATTTTATGACAGAGACATATATGACGGTGGTGGTAGCAAGTATGATGGTTATGTTACGTCCATAGCCGCCAATGATGAAGTAGATGTAAGTAAGAATACATTGTCGTAATACTATTGAAGACAAGTAAGTAAATGATAAAATACCTACAGTGTGCATGTTTCAGTTTCCCGTGTTGAACTCACTTAGTAACTGTCATCTAGAAAATACAGTTTCTGTCTAGGAGCTAGTAAGGCTTTCTCACACATAGTTTTTGGTATAAACCACGTACTGCCATGATTGTCGTCATATGTCTTAGCTCACAGTTTATGATTGACTTGCCACTGTGAGAGGTGGAGAAATCTGTCATTCAGTGATTAGAATCACACAATGAACAGACATAATTGACCAAAATTACTGCATGGTTCGGAGGTCTGAACAGCTGTGGAACGAGCTGCTGAGAGAGACGAACTAGAATAAGGAAAGGTGACAGCCAATTAGCAGGTCATTGCGTATCTTGTGTATGCAGCTCATATCTGCCCTGAAAAATATTTGACCCCAGTTGCATCTGTAGTAAGATGCCAGTGATTTTCCACCCACTTTATTAAATGCAGTCTGCTAGTCCTGTTAGATCAGTGCCCTATTGTCTGCATGCATGTGTATATTTGTGTTCCCATCCTGGATGTCTTGAGCTACACGAGTTGTGACTTTAAAAGGAAGGGGGCTTGTAATTTCTTTGAAGTAACATGTATTTTATGTTTTTGTAGGACGAAGATGATATAGTGTCATTAAGCCAGAACAAACGTCCAGGTTATACAGCTCCAGCAGCTTTGCTAAATGATGTTGCCCAGGTAATATTTGTAAATGATATAATATACTTTAAACTTAAAGTCACGAGACACTAGTTTGATGCATTCATGGCATCTCTGTGAAGCAATATAATATTATTTATTTTTATCTTTTATCATGTTATAAAAGTGATGTCATGTTCTAGTCTGATATTTTTGTCTCTGTCATTTCAGAGCGAGAAAGATTATGATCCGTTTGCTGAGCGCCGACGTCCAACAGTTGCAGAAAAAGAAGATGAATATAGACAGAAGAGGCGGATGATGATTATATCACCAGAACGAGTTGATCCGTTTGCTGAAGGTTTGTTCACCAGCTCATAATTAGGATTTTTCTGGGTTTTTCTACCTTATATTGAAGGAAATTTATTTACTGTGGTTGTGCTGCTGTTCATATTTTTAAGTGTTGTTTAAACATATAATTTATTTTCTCTCTTGTTTTTAATGAATGAAGTAGTGTACCCAGAACTTCTGCTTTAAATACAATGGAAATTACAGCGAAACCTTAATAAGGACCTTTATTTAACTTCTTGCATTTATGTTTTTCTGCGTATAAACTTCAATTTTACAGTGAGCATGCTTGTATTACGTTTTAGTCCAATTTATTACTTTTCAGTACTACTGGATATGACTTTATACAGGATGTTTTTGAAATTAATTTTGTGTGTGATAGTTTAGTAATATTTTCTTTTTCCAATGTGGTTGCAGAAAGTAAAGGCCTGCTTATAATATTCAACAGTCTTCTATCATGATCACTTTGGTCTCAAAAGTTAATACCTTTTATCATGATTTGTTTCATGTGGTATTACTTAATGTCCAACTAACGTGCCAACTGGTGTCCAGAATTATCATTCAGAGTTTTATAAAACATTGGCATTGAACTACATTACATGTTGTTATCACTTGTCTTTATTCGTAATATTTACGTATTCATTCATGAAGGTTGCCCAAATTTTATATACCAAAAGTACTGAGAAGTCATGAAATATCATTAGTTTTTTTTATTTTGGTCTTATTTAACGCATATATAATACAGAGAAAGTGAAAGGTTAAGTCAAATGAAAGTGAGTCAGTGTTATGTTGCGGAGAGCCCTGACGCTTATTTAGAAGTAATCACCACCACATTTAAGGCATTTATTTAACCGTTTCACAAGCACGTCGACGGCTTCCTTGTTTAAAGACCTGTAGTTGGTGCAGAGTATCCAGAGCCACCTCTCTTGACGCTTCAAGTACTTTTTTTGTAAGGTTGCTCCAGGACCTGCCTCCCAAATTTCATTAGTTATGCAATGTCGCACAGGACGTCACCCCATCAGGAGACCTGACCACCAGTTGTTAATAGTCAATTCAGATAGGCACAGTATCGGTCTACGTTGATAGTCTGCTTATGTTCCGAGAATCCAATGAGCAGCCCACCCCCGGGCCCTTAAAAATACATCTGAGTGATTCTTTTTCAGCTGTTAGTGTACTCTTGAATATTTTGGCAATGTGGTACCAACCAGACTTCATTAATATTTATTTTTGTAACAATCATTTATCTCACTTCTCAGGGAAAAAAAAAATATGCACGTAGTACGCAAGTGAGACGAAAATTTATAGAAATATGTGAGAGACGCATTAAAATATGAGCGGCAGGCACTGATCGTTTGCCAGTTGTTTGAAATGATGATGCGGGAATGTATGTGTGTGTATTTGTGTGTGTGTGTATGTGTGTATGATGAACAAGACAAGGGAAACATGCAGTATTGAAACATAATATAGCAAAGGAAATGTCGAGAAGTGTCGAAGCATAAATTTTGGAATGTATGACAAGTTGCATTATGGTGTAAATATTTCTAGCTAACATTTGTATTTTTCTTCATAATAGAGTTTGGTTAGATAATGCAATTCTGGGAGGGTTAGTAATACAGTATTTCAGTATTTTGTAACATGAAAGGGTTGGGAGGGAAAAGATGAGTCACTTCTACTAATGATCTTCAATTTTCTTTCCCCTCTGAGGATTTTCCACAGCGGAGTCTTGGATCGGCAACGCCATTCTGGGAATTCGAAGCACGGTTCAGTGTTATGATAAAATGAAAAGTTCCTAGGAAATATCCACTGACTATGTCAAAATGGGTTTAGTAATATATTACCTTAATCTAGTTCTCATTTATTAAAATACTGCATAATATTTTATTAAAAATTGGAAGAACAAGACGTACACAGTTTTTCTAGTTCTGTTGAGAAAATACAATCACATAGTTTTAAAGAAAGGCATAGTAAAAGCCTGGCCCGAATTCCATTGGAATCCATGGACATCTTCACTCTGCTTGGAAGTGCAGCTGTCAAGACCAGTGTTAGGAGAGCTCTGGATGTTCTCCAGTTGTGGGTTTGATAAGAACTCTAGTTCCCTTGGTGTGAGAGTGTGTGTGAGCTATCAGAAAATTACTAATCACCCCAGCTTTTTTCTAGGTGGATAATAAAATTCAACATGCAGCTCAAGATGTTTGAAAAACTCGACCGTTTTCATGAAGTGAGCAGGAGAACTGGTCACGTACGTATCTAGGCAAGATTACTACGGTTATCCAACTGCAAAGACTGTGGCAAACTTTATCAAGCGTAGTTTTATAACATTTTTCAGAAGTTAGAGCGACAGACGCAGTTCTTTGTGTGTAACACGAATGTGAATTTTATTTGTTCTGGACGGAAAGCAGTTTGTGACATTGTCTTTGAATTGGTTAAGTGTAGTGAAGTTTTCAGAAGTATATAGTTTCAAGAAGATTTTTTTTTATATTAGAATTGCTCAGATTAAATTTTATTGTTTATATTTGATAAAGTAAGAACACATCTAAGACTTTTACATTGCAGATAATAGAATTTAAATATGCTACTAATAGAACTAGTGAGCAGGCACTGTCATGGACAAACTTGAAGATATAAAGGCAGTCCACAGATAATGTGCGTTTTAGAAGTCTTCATTTCAGAGATGAGAGTAGGGTTTCATGTGTTGTATAAGTAAAAGAATTTGCATTTCACAGTCAGACGCCCTAACATGCTTTCTGTCCGCGTTATGTGGACCTTGAAAATTTAAAAAGTATGAATGTGTGCAACAGGTTGCAAATAATTTTGTCCTGTATAAACATATAATGGAATTACTTTTAATAATTTATTTTACTAAAATGGAAACCCGGCTTCCAGTAAGTGTGTAATTTAGGTGCGAGTACACATTCATGCAGACCATCCTGCAGTCTGTGTTAATTGTTATGTAGTCTTTAGATTTTAACCTTTGTGGGGCTGCTGGCCACGCTTCAACTGTGTGGTTCACAGCAGTTTGCCTGTGTCGTGCGTGGTCAGCTGGACTGCGACATGAAGGTCACGATTCACGATCGATAAAGGTTAATCATTGAGTAACATGCAAGTTTTGTGTCCTTTTCCCTCTGCTGTGTTTTCTCAGGAATTTATATTTCTGTACTAACTTAACTCCAGGTGGAAAAGTCCTTGAGATATAATGGTCACTGAGCTAGTGATGAATTTTCACTGTTTTCTGGAACAGAAGGGCTCATTACCTTGTTTATAAGAACATGCCACCAGAACATATTCTTAGCCAGGTGAATGTAGGCCACATCCTCTTTAATCTTTTGGTCAAGTTTAATTTTGTCCCATCTGCATTTGGGTTTACCAAGTGATCTCTTAACTTCAGGTACTCTGACCAAAATTTTTTATGCATTCCCATGTCTATCATGTGTGCTACATGTCCTGCCAGTAACCTCCCCCTTTATTTAGTCATGATGATAATATTTGGTGAAAAATTATGAAAAACGTCTCTGATCTGCGTTCTTCCATTAATATGTGACGTCAAGTTTTGTGTCATGCAGCAACAGGTGGAGTTAGTTTTGTAAATTATAATCTTTACACTGCTTAGTAAGAAGCATTTCTTATATTTGATATTTTCTTAATTTATTTTTCAGGAATGCAGTTTGGACTCGTTACTGTCATTACCAAATGTTTTAACTTTTACAAATTTTGAAGGGGTTATTAGTTACCTATATATGATGATTTTGTACTGGAGTCTTGTGATGAGACTTGAATATATACTTTGTTTCCTCTTGTGTTTACTTCCAGACCAACTTAGCAGCATATTTACATTCTGTGATCTGTTTTTCTTTATGATGTTTATGTTTTGATGACTGTAGGTTCAGTAATAGATTCCTTCCACTGCTCTGGAAATTCTTCCTGTTTTTGAATAGAATGAATACATATCTTTATCTCAGAACATAAACTTTATAATTTCTGCAAGAATTTTATCAAAAGCTGGCAATGTACACGTTTTCATCTTTTCAGGAGCAGTCTCAAACCTGAAAAGAACCAAGTTCAGATAATTTTACATTTTGTTAACCCCATATTTTCAGGCTTTGAAAGGTTTTTGGCAGTGATGAAGTACGTAATTGTGTATTTTCTTTTAACAGTGTACATTTAAATAAATTAGGTGTATAACATTCAGGATCTAACCTCTTGGGACGTATATATATCATTTAAGGAGAATACTTCCCTTTCCATCCACACTTCACATTTTACTGTTCTAGTAGGTAAATTCTCTATCCTCTCTGTGCATGCTTGTTAATATGAATAGTCCCTATTATTTTCAATCTGCAAAATTTAAACCTGATCTGTTGCATCCATTGGTGAGTTTAGACAGAAAATGGGGAGGAGGGCAAATCAGATGTTTAGACATTTCAAGGAAAATACTGTTTGTTGATTCTGTGTTGGTTGTTTCATATTTTGTGTGAAAATAAGGTCATGAAAATCTCGTGGAATGTGTTTTCTTACTAGATGATAAAACTGCTCCTGAAAGGAAAAATGTTGATACGCAGTAATTCCAAAGTTCGCTAACAGTTGGAAGAATTGTTTCAGTCCCTTGATCCTGAACAACGTTGTTTAAAGATTGTTGACATTAAAGGATGGGAATACAAGTCCAAATCATGAATGAGTTTCTTATTTTATATTTTCATATGTTGTTAATAGGCATTGATCTTTGGACAGGGATAGAGCAAAGGGTTTTCTTGGTGCTGGAAGAGTAGTGTAATTTTATACGAGCTATAAAAGCAATTTAATTTTCCAGGTTATTGACTTTTAGGTCTTCTTGAAACTACTTCAGAAAACTTGATACAGCAGATATTCTATTAGCCTTCACAATTAAGCAGTTGTCTTGTTTGTAAGACAGAGCCTCAGACACTCATTTAGATTGAAATAATGATCTAATGTAGTTTGTTAAAAAAAAAAAAGAAATTGTGTAATTTAGGAATTCTGCATAGTGGATCGTCATTTCTGTAATGTGGGATAGAATATAAAAAGCCTGCCTATGACTAACTGTTGCGCTCGGCGTGACTTTAATTGGTTTTTGCAGGTGGGAAAACTCCAGACCTTGGCTCAAGAACATACACAGAAATCATGAAGGAACAGTTGCTTCGTGGAGAAGAAACAGAGGTAAGACTTTAGGAATACGTTAATATAAGCCTGAATTGAGCTCACGTTTGTAGCACACTTGCCTCGGTATGCTAAATTTTTTAGAAGTTAAAAATGTCCCAAACTTCATTTGAAATGTAGTTATAAATTTCTTTAATATGAGCCTCCATTTGTCCTGAGAAGTGGCTTCAGCATCTTCTTTAGAGAACTGTTTTAGTGCTGTGACCTTTAGATATCTTAGTAATGGAATGCATACTTATTAATGAATACCATGCTATTCACTGGTTATCATAGGAATCATAAAAGTATTCCATATGTATGTCAATGTAATTGGATTGTGCAGTGTGCAGGACTAATTTAACTCACGTTTTATTTACAGTTGCGGAAACAAATTGTCGAGAAGTCCAAGGATGGAACTTTGAAGGTTGTGACTAATGGTGAACTACCGAAGTCTGCTCCGAAGAAGCGAGGTCGCTGGGATCAGACGGGCGGAGACGAAGGAGTCACTCCTGTGAAGAAAAAGGCCACCAGCAATAGTGTTTCATCTGTTGGCTCTTCATGGGACAAGGAGGATGTAAGATTCTTTTTAATATATAATTTTGTTAGAATTTGTGGTTCAGCTGAGTCAGGATAGGGAACGGTGGTAAGCTTTTGTGAATACAGTAATGAATCTTTGGTTTTCCTATAAGTTGGAAAAATTCTGACTAGCTGTATGAGTAAAGGACTTTTCCAAGTGGAGTTACTTATTCCTGTTATACTTTCTCTTGATCTGTTTCTCTCTGATGGTCGTAAAGGTCCTTTCCTGTTCCTCACCCCTGTTGGTCCAGACTAGAGCTTCATCCTCTCTCCCCGTCCCATGGCCCTGAAGTTCCTCTGAAAATTTGGTATACATGTACAAACTGCATTTTGCGTCAATCCAGAGTTCACAAACTTACGTTAATCCTGGCAGTTACTGCTGTACATAAATAAGCACATAGACATATTGAAGTGCAATAAATTTTGTGTAGATATAGTCAGTTGGCTACACAGTGAGCCGTTTTATTCTATGGGTCCAGCCCGTAGCTAGTCACTATACTGACTGAGCTATCCCAGCTCCTGATGTTTTAAATGTGTGCGCTTAACTCTTTATGCTGTAGAAACACTTCAGTATTTGTAATTTTACCACTTGTGTGTGTGTGAAAGACTGTTATTTTGATAATCACATACAGAGACCTTTTGTATTGTAAGACTTGAGGTTCTCACAGCGGTGAGTATGAAGATATCCATCTTCTGGGTTATTGCGCTGTGTAGTCTGGTCGATGTTAACCAACGTTTCAGAGGTCATACTGCCTCCATCATCAGGGCGATGACGGAGGCAGTATGACCTCTGAAACGTTGGTTAACATCGACCAGACTACACAGCGCAATAACCCAGAAGACGGATATCTTCACCTTTTGTATTATTAATGTGAACTTTGGTTTGAATTGAAAATATATAAAAATAAAGAAAGATACACGTGTAATATTTCCATTGCAGTTACTCTGGTACTGCTTATAGATTTTCAGTCTTTGAAATCAACTTTTAATGCTGTCTTATAAGTAACATAAAACAGGTGTGGCTAATGCACAGGGACCTCCAGTATGAATGTGCTTGTGTAAACCATAGTTGAACCGCAACTTCAATATTATGGGAAGTACCCATCGCTAAAGTTTGTCTCTTGTTAAAAATTAATGTAATATTTTACTGTTTCTCAAAACTCTGTTGCTTTTCATATTTTAGTCAACGCCGGCTTCAACACGTTGGGATGAGACTCCAGGGCATGGCAAAGGAGGTGAAACTCCTGGAGCCACACCAGGTCAGAGCACTCGGATGTGGGATGCCACTCCAGGGCATGCTACTCCAGGTCATGCCACTCCAGGAAGGGAAACACCAAGTCATGACAAGGGCACGTCTAGCAGGAGAAACCGATGGGATGAAACACCCAAAACAGAGAGAGGTATTCTATCTACATTCGTTGTCTAAATCTGAAATGTAATAGTTTTTGGTGAAATATTTTTAGAAAATTTTCATGGGTTTGAAAATTGCTCATCTTGCAGTCTGTCATTCATTGGTCTCATAAATGGTTTTGCGAAATTCACTTATTATTTTCTATGTCATTGTCTTTGCCACAGAAAATTTTGAATGCCGGTTCATTTTGTTTTTCTTTGTCAGGACATGTAACTGTTCCTTAACAATTTGGTAGAATGTGAAAGGGGGTCAATGTTACTGCTGTTTCAGTTGGACAAGACCAAAGTGTATTTACTTATGACTTACTTAACCTTTTAACTACAGGATTTAAATCGAGGCTTTTTAAATGTATGACTGGATTAAATTTCAGTTGCACAGGATGTCCTACAAATGTTTATAGACATTATAATATGGCGGTCGCTTGTCAGTCAGTTGGTACTGATAGCTGTGCTCATTTGTAATACCTACTCTTGATTTTATAATTTACTAAGTGCAAATTGTGATGCAATTTTTTTCTCAGACATGCAATTCCCTTGCATTTTATAAGAATTGAAACTGCAAAGTACGAAAGTGTGAGACCCATTTTGTTTTATTTCTTCTGAGTGTAATATATAGGGATGGCTTCAAAGAGGGTACTTAAAGACAGCCATAGCACAGGAACTGATTTTAGACTCAGAAAATGAAGACATATCTACTTAAAGTGTCAGTGACGATGATGATTATGACAGGATGTACATAATGGACGGACAGTACACAGTCTCAACCTTCTGCACTTAAGATGCAATTTACTGGGGTTCCAGTGGGTTGGCAGAAAACGGGGTACCTGACCGACCGGGCTTATTACAAGAGTTGAAAGTGTTGGACATGGATAATTTTTCTCTTCTGCTTTCATATTTGACAATTTGTTGGTCGGTTGATTGATTTATATGTTCAATAAAATATTGGCTTAGATAAGGATGCTTTTTTTTTCCAGCTACTACAGCCTGTTTTGCTGTTTATAACAGTTGGAAGTGGTTGAAGAAATTGCTTTTTTCTGTTTTAAGATTATATTTTTGTTGTTTTATAAAGAAACACCTGGCCATAACAGTGGTTGGGCAGAAACTCCCAGAACAGACCGAACTGGTGCTGGCGATTTAATTCAGGAGACCCCTACTCCTTCCGCCAGCAAGCGACGTAGTCGGTGGGATGAGACTCCGTCAAGTCAGATGACACCAGGTGCGATGACTCCACAGACTCCAGGAACACCTCACACTCCTCATGGTACTCCTCATGGAACTCCTCATGCAACACCCTCCATTATGACGCCAAGTGGAGTTACACCTACTGGAACGAAAGCTATGGCGATGGCTACTCCAACACCAGGTAAGGGTTAATCTCATGGTGGATGTAAATATAATGCAGTGCCGTGTTCGAATTATCCAGGGAGACTTCTTGTGAGACTGTCTTGTAATAATATTGTTTCACAACTTGTGAGGCTCTGGTTATAATACCAGACTTCTTGTGAGACTGTCTTGTAATATTATTGTTTCACAACTTGTGAGGTCCTGGTTATATATTTAAGGCATACTTTTTTGAATAACACACCAAAATGATGTTCTCAGATCTGTTTTGTAAGTGAAAGAATTTAACAGTAATTCTGTGCACTACATTGTGAATTTAAGTATATAAGTATATAAAGTAGTATTTATTGAAATCTGTTAATTTCAATGTGTTTCAGGACATCTTGCCACAATGACTCCAGAACAGCTGCAGGCATATCGCTGGGAACGAGAGATTGACGAGAGGAACCGTCCACTTTCAGACGACGAGCTTGATGCTATGTTTCCTCCAGGTTACAAAGTCCTCACTCCACCTGCTGGTAAGATGGAATTGCTAGTGATACTACAATGATTGAAAAGTAATTAAAAGTGGCTTAAAATTAATTCAGGAAACCGGAAGAGATATGTGTAGCAATTGTTGTTATGCATAACCCTTCAAAGGTTATAACATATCTTTTTTGCAAGTGCAAGACGTGTTTACTGTTGAAGATATGTAATATGTTTCCTTAGGTTGCCAACATCACTTTATGCATGAATTTATTGATTACAAAATTTATGGAAATAAAATTGGTTAATTGTTTCTGTAACTCATTAAGTGTAATTGTAGCAGAGCTTAGAATTTCCATATTTTCTAGTAAGAGCTGTTTCATTTCTTAGAAGTTGGAGTATGGTTTGTTGTTTTCCATCAGTTTTAACTGATCCTGTTTTCTTCAGTGGAGATGTAAGTGCTGAATGTGATCAGGCAATTCATTTCTTTTCTGGAAATTGAGGAATAAGACTACTGGCTCTGGGAGGATGGAGCAGTATCTCGTACAGCGTTGGAAATGTTGCAACACTTCTTTGGTGATCGCATTATTTTCAAGGTTTAAAGTCAATCAAATCTGTTGAGTTTTATTCCACTTGCTACACGGCTACTTCCACTTGCATTACAGATTGCAGTTAACCCTTTTCCCCGTCAGATTTTATTGGTTGTAAATTTTGTCTTTGCGAAATGAGATCTGCCTTACAGACGTGTGTAATTTGATCAAGAGAAACTGAAATGTAGGAGAAATTTGTGCATGGGCGTTAGTGGCACAGTAGTAACATTTAGTAGGTATAGTTATCACTGCTGATTTTTATGTTAATTATAAACGCCATATGTTACAGGATATATTCCTATTCGTACTCCTGCGCGGAAGCTAACGGCTACGCCGACGCCTATCGCCGGAACACCGGCAGGATTCTTCATCCAACAGGAAGACAAATCAGCAAAGTATATGGATAATCAGCCAAAGGGAAACCTTCCATTCATGAAGCCAGAAGATGCTCAGTACTTTGATAAGTTGCTGGTGAGATGATGTACTTACTACTGAGCAGAGTAGTTTTAGTTCACTGATATTAGTCAAAAATGTACTTACTACTGAACAGAGTAGTTTATTGTAGTTCACTGATATTAGTCAAAAGGAAGATTTCTTTCATGTCAGCTTTCATTCTTCTTTAACTTTTATTGTTTGGGAATACAGGATTTAAATCCTCAATACTATGGGAACTGCTGATCAGACTTAACCTTTAAATGATAGGCATTTCAATGGCAAAGTTGTAGCAGCCCTACAGAGTTTTTTTTTGAGGGTATTTAAATTTGTGCGCGCGCTATACGGAAAACTTTAATATTATCTAAAGTAAACATGATAAAATGACGAAATATGCGAATGGTACAGAGAATACACAGAGTTTTTTTTTAAAAATGCAGTTAATATCAGTGTCCAAAATAACTTCTAGTATTTCTTCAGGCTTTAGTAACTTTACTTTCTTTTTTGGAAGCTCAGTCGACATGGTAGAAGCCGTGGTTGTGAACTACTGACCACACAGAAAATTTTGTTTCCCTCTACTTCAGTGGATGCCGAGGAATGTGGGTAGCTTTGAATAGGGGTCTGTAAACGAAGCCGAAACCCACTTGACATAAACAAAGTTTATTGCTGTTTATGGTTATAGTTTCCGGGTTGACAGCTCAGGTTGAACTTGTCAGAACCCTAGAGAGAGTGATTCAATGCCTGCAGCTCCTAAAAGAGGCCAAAAGACGTAGCCTAGTCTCCTAACAGTGTTGCAAGTATTTACGTTCCGCACAAGGAACGTTCGTAGGGCTGAGTACTCAACTTACGTTCCTGACGAGGAACGCAAGTAAGATAAAGGTTAAACTCCAGGCTTACTAGTTTACTTGTATTCTAATGCAGCACGTGGTCAGGTGGGCTACACTTAAAGTGTAACACACGATTGATAAAGGTTAAAGGTTTTAAGCATTATTTGCATGTAGTGTGTAATGTGAATGCCTGATCAGAAGTCATGCCTTATTATGCAGAAAGAATTGTTTTCAGATTCAAGATTCTTGACATGGCAATTCAGCAAATTGCTCATGTCAGCATGAATTAAAATAAAAGAATGGAACACCGCCGATGCGCAAAGCTGCTCTTCGTCAGATCACAGACAAAGCGCGCGAGTTTGGAGCAGGACCACTGTTTAATCAGATACTGCCACTGCTCATGTCACCAACTTTAGAGGATCAGGAGAGACATCTTCTGGTGAAAGTTATTGATCGCATCCTGTACAAATTGGATGATTTAGTGAGACCGTATGTTCATAAGGTAAGATGTTCCAGAAAATATGTTGCCAGTTGTGTGCACGTTGGTAGGTCATAAGTGGTCGGTAAATTGCGTACTGAATAACTTTTTGTACGTCAGCATTTCCAGAGGTGGTGATGGCAGGAACGAGAGAAATCTGTACGTACTGAAATTATGTACAAACATATGATTAATATTTTATAATTTCTGCTGTGGTCATTGTATATTGAGGGTCATTTAGAGAACATTGAACACCATAATCTTTTTTTATACACTTGTCTTCAGTTTATTTCCAGGAGTTTTATGTCCCGTTGTGTTGTTTGTGTTGGATCTGAAAGCGCTATATCTTTATTTGCAATGACAGGAATGAATGGACTGGCAGAGGGTACATTCAACATTTTGCAATAGAGGTAGGCCTGTACAAGCAAAGAAAATTAAGGCGATTGTGACAGGAGGGCATATCAGCAGTGTGACTGATTTTTTGCAAGAGACTAAATTCTTATGCCTACTTGGTTTGACAAATGTGCGTTGTTAATGTTCACATGCCCAAATGTAACTGTGACTGTGTAAAGCAGCATCAGCATTATATCCTCCTGGCCTCACACCCCACAATTTTACTTTGTTAGACCAGATTTCTCTGATTATGCAAATATGTTGATATGTTCTGCCATGACACCCTGAAAATGAAAGTAAGAATTTTTTTGGTTTTGTTTTATAGTGTTTTTCCCCCCCATAGATTGTTCATTTGAATACAAAACTCACAATTATGAATTTAAGATTTTATTCAAGTGTGTTGATGGCAGTAATTTATTATTAAGGAACATGCTGGAATGCTTTCGTATTGGACAAAGTTTTTAATTCTGTGTGACTTACCAAAGTAAACCTATAAAATAAGCACACAAACAACTATTAACACTATACAAAAGACACTAGTGCCGTACGCGTTTCAACCTCAAGAGGTCATCATCAGTGGCATCAGGGAAATTAATTCATTTGACCAAAATTGTTTAGAAAAACTAATAATGAAGTAGAGTATTTTACAAAAACATATCAAGCACAGGAGTTGAACTCTGCACTTAGCTATTGATCCGATGGTTCGGTGGCCGTAGCTGGTCTGCGGCGAGCCGTTGTTGCGTCGTCCGTACCTGTGAACTCCAACGAAGCGTGGGTGTTACTGCCAGTTATCGAATGCGTGGGGTATATATAAGCTCGAAGTCAGGGTGGCCAACTATTGAAAATTTACTTTTTCCTGTTTAATGCCAGGTTAAATTGCACAAAATACCATTCTCCAAAGAAGAATTCGATAAAGAAACTAAACTCATCCAAGAAATAGGATAAAACAACGGCTACAAATTTAGTGTCTTTTTTATAGTGTTAATAGTTGTTTGTTTGCTTATTTTATATTCTAATATGCTACACGGTATGCAAAGTTTTAAGATCAAAGTACACTTGTTTATGTTTAAATGTTAAAATATTAGAACATCTCTGTGTTAAACCAAGGTAGGTTATCATTGTCATTACTCTGTTGATATTTTAGTCGAAAGTGGAAATATCCGTCTGTGTGTATTTCGTCGAGCCGGAGTTGATGCTGAGAAATCAGGCGGATGCTTTATCAGTATGAATTTTGAGATGCCTGCAATAATACATGTTATGTTATATGTACTTTATTGCCATTTCTTACTATTATAGATCCTTGTAGTGATAGAGCCTCTACTTATTGATGAAGACTACTATGCTCGAGTGGAAGGCCGTGAAATCATCTCTAACTTGGCCAAAGCTGCTGGGTTGGCAACCATGATTTCAACAATGAGACCAGATATCGACAACATCGATGAGTACGTCCGTAACACGACAGCTAGAGCATTTGCAGTGGTAGCGTCTGCTTTGGGCATTCCATCGCTACTTCCTTTCTTAAAAGCTGTTTGTCGAAGCAAAAAGTCTTGGCAAGCTAGACATACAGGCATCAAGATCGTGCAGCAGATTGCAATTTTGATGGGATGTGCAATTCTTCCACACCTCAAAAGTCTGGTTGAAATTATAGAACACGGTAAGAAAACATGATACTCCATTTATCTTAGTAGGAAATGAAGTTGATTTAATGCTGTCTTTCTAGATTCTGACCAGATCAAGGTTTATTAAATTTCTTAATGTGTACAATTTTCAATGCATCTGGCACGTTAGGCGCCCGCCTCTCGAAAACTGTAAGAGATGGATCCGGACATATTGCGTACGAAATACGTATTACCCCTTGAGCTTTCCATATCTGTTTTCAGATTTTTCATATCACAAATGGTTTAGGTTCTACAAGCATTTATTAAACGTTTTACAATATCACAGGTACTTATCTTATATAAGAATTATTAAGAAATCTATTGTTGCGTCATACTATGTACAAGATGGATGACATTGAAGCTAAAAGAGTCCGTAATGCGGAATATATGAGACAGTACAGAAAACGTAAAAGAATAGAAGTATTAAATAATGAACCTGAAGTTCCCAAAAAAAATATCAAAAACTAATGCTGAACATATGAGGGATAGATAATTAAGCAATGTCTTAATCAAATTATTTATTCAATTATAAAGCATGTATAAAGGGAATATTTAGAATAAAGCTAATATATAAACTTCCTTTCATTGTTTAAATATAATTTAAATACAAAGACGTACTTACGTCAGATTCACCAGAACCGTGGTTCCACTGTCAATTTTTAGTTTGTTTTTAGTGGCACAGAATGAAATGTGTTAAACAATTAAGATTTCATAGAAATGTTGTTGAATGAAGTAGGAACTCTGCTTGTATAGTTTTTACGTCACTACATAAATTCTTACAAGATTATAACTTTAGGTTCCTGGTTTATAACTGTGTTTATTTAATGCAGGTTTGGTTGATGAGCAGCAGAAAGTGCGAACTATAACAGCCTTGGCTATTGCTGCCCTGGCAGAAGCCGCAACTCCGTATGGTATTGAGAGCTTTGATTCTGTTCTAAAACCTTTGTGGAAGGGTATCAGAACACACAGAGGAAAGGTAAGTGAAGAGGGCTCGTAAGTACTGTTTCAGTAATTCCACAAAAAAACCCTGGAATATTGAAGTATGATTGTAATTTAATTTTCCATATGTGTATTTATCCTTTAACCAGCCATAATTGTCTACTTTTTAAAATTTCTGTTAAGTGGTTTTTGAAATACAATCTTAAAACATCCTCCCCACTGGAGTACGAAGGTATGTTGTGTGAGGGTTTTTTTTAATAACTCTGTAGCTTATTGTAAGGCGAATTGAGTTGATTTTTGACCATATATGAATGCACCTCACAACTTGTAAAGGTTTAGATTTGTAAGTGGTCACATTTTATGAACTTTGGAAATTAATTGCAGCATCTCAGATATGTTTAAAATTTGTTACAAGTGTCAGCTACCTACCCCTCTCTGATTATGCAAAAAGTAATTTTGGGACCACAAGATCTTTGGAAACTGCATTTAATTTTGTCGATGAGGCTTCGCTCTAGCCCATGCTGGGTGCCGTCAAGGTAAATGCCATGCAATGTCTGGAGGTCAGTCCTTGGGTGGCAGTGTAGAGCAGGGTCATTCAGTATTCACCATAATACTGCATTTTGTTGCTGAGGTATGACCGTTGTGTGGTGTTGATGTGATAATATGAATCTATACTGACAGATGAGACAGTTTGCTAATTGCTATCATCTCCAGATTTTGGTCATGCACCTTGTCTGAACACATGTATACATAGTACATTGCTTTAATGTCAGTAAGCTGAGGTATTTGTTGACCATGTTGATTGAACATTCCAACAGAAAGTGGATAAGAAACTTCTCATTCAATATTTACATGCATAGAAGTTTGATATTTGAGTTTTTTGCAATTTTTTATTTATAAATTCTTAATAAATATTTGAGTTTCTAAATAGTTTATTTGAAGTTGAAAACCTCATCCTCATGGTTTCCAGAAATATAGTCAGATAGATCTTTTGTGTGTCCACTTTCTGAACTACGTCCTATAATTTTGACAATTTACAGTTTATATTATGTTCACATACTACAAGTCACTCCTGAAATACAGTCATATGGACAAAGGACGTTTTTCTCTAAACTGCAGTTCCAAAATGGCGTTAAAACTTATGTAATACAGTAATGTTTTAAACACGTTTTCATACATTGAAAGTTTGTGTGTAGAACATATACAAATTAAAAATTATAAATACATACCATCTGAATACACAGTGTTTTAACTATCTGCCTATAGGACACATGACCTCCAGCATTCAAACGTTCATTACAGCGGCAATTTCCCATAGAAACATATGAAGCAAGCACTGAATTTCAGAAATTCGAAGGGAGTAGGAATTGATACAAAGATTTGTTTGTGTCTCTTTAGGGTCTTGCTGCCTTCTTGAAAGCCATCGGTTATCTGATTCCTTTAATGGATGCTGAGTACGCAAATTACTACACCAGAGAAGTGATGTTGATTTTGATCCGAGAATTCCAGTCCCCAGATGAAGAAATGAAGAAGATTGTTTTAAAAGTGGTGAAGCAGTGCTGCGGAACTGATGGTGTGGAGTCACAGTATATAAAGGATGAAATCCTTCCACACTTCTTCAAACACTTCTGGAATCATCGAATGGCGCTAGATCGCAGGAACTACAGACAGGTATTTAAAAATTTATAGTAAATTAATTATATTTGCAGGCAGGTAATTTATTGTAGTGTGGTGTTTGCAGTAATATTTTTAATTACCTTTCAACTGGAACATAACTGGCCATATTCATCCAAATGTAAGGTTGTATGGTCTGAAACTTTCATGGTGACTGAGTATAATGAATTCTTCTCTGCCTACCAGCCGTGTCAGGTGGTAGCCTGAGAAGAATTCATCAAATATCAGGTTGCTCTGAAGTGTGTACTTTATCCAATTTGAGAAAAAGAAATTACTGCTTTCGCTATATATGTGTAAGTTATTTGTCTACTGTGTAGACGTTGATGAAACAGTAAAAAAATTTGAATTTTCAGACTTCCTATTCATTTTTTTTGGAATATCCCTGTTTGAAGAGGAATTTTAATTTAATTTGGTCAATGCACTGGAGACGTTCGACTTCTTAGTAGCTACATAATTTAATTTGGTCAATGCACTGGAGACTTTCGACTTCTTAGTAGTTACACTCAGTGTTTTTATGCATGAGTGGTTGAAATGTAATATAAATTTTTGTTGTAGCTTGTGGACACAACTGTGGAAATTGCCAATAAAGTCGGTGCTTCTGAGATCATCAATCGCGTGGTGGATGATCTGAAGGATGAGAACGAGCAGTATCGTAAAATGGTTATGGAAACCATCGAGAAAATTATGGGTAACCTTGGAGCAGCCGACATAGACTCTCGTCTTGAAGAGCAGCTCATTGATGGTATCTTGTATGCATTCCAAGAACAGACAACTGAGGTAATGTAATGCACATAACATTCTGAGCTCTTTCATTGTAATAATCGGGTAGGACAGTTAGCCACCTTGCAATCCCCCCATCATGGCCGCTTACAGACAGATGGACATTGCATATTTCAGAATTTTGTCTTTAAACCACATCACATCTAGTGATGGAGGCAGAGGCAGGCTACATAATGTTGGAATTTCATGGCTCATTGCTTGAGAAGGCTTAATTCCAGATTGATAAATGATGTGTGAGTGGAGAGAGGGAAGCATCGTTGGAGTATGTTTATCCAGCAGCAGTAGGAATGCTGTTTAACAGTATTACATTCATGGTTCTCAGGTCCTGTGCAAGTTGACTTCTTTGAGTACAGTTTTTGATATTCTGAACTCGGTATGTTTTTTTGTGTGTGTAGGATGTGGTGATGCTGAATGGTTTTGGTACGATCGTCAATCAGTTAGGAAAACGTGTGAAGCCATACTTGCCACAGATTTGTGGTACCATTCTGTGGCGTCTTAACAATAAATCAGCCAAAGTGCGTCAACAAGCTGCTGACCTCATATCAAGGATAGCTGTTGTCATGAAGACCTGTCAGGAGGTGAGTTTGCATGCTTTAACAGTGTTTTGTTAATGTAAGAAATTCATTTCATTTTTGTTAATGTTGAGGTGAGTTCACGTGCTTTAACAGTGTTTTGTTAATGTAAGAAATTAATTTCATTTTTGTTAATGTTGAGGTGAGTTCACGTGCTTTAACAGTGTTTTGTTAATGTAAGAAATGTATTTTATTTTTGTTAATGTTTAATTGATTTTGTTTCAGGAAAAACTTATGGGACACTTGGGTGTTGTGTTGTATGAATACTTGGGTGAGGAGTACCCAGAAGTTCTAGGTAGCATTCTTGGAGCACTGAAAGCAATTGTGAATGTCATTGGTATGACAAAAATGACACCGCCCATCAAGGACCTTCTTCCAAGACTGACGCCTATCCTTAAGAACAGGCATGAGAAGGTGAGTTTTTATATATATATAAAATGTTGTGCAGTTAAACATGACACTATCTCTGATGTTCACTCACAGTGACAGTACCAACATTGAATGATCCTGTATCATGTTATAACCCAGTGTTTCAATTTGTGTTTTTTGCATGAGTGCATCAAACTAATTAATGCTTAATTGGGAAGTTGTCCAGCCAGCAAACATGTCCTCTTATTTCACATCTGGAACTACTAAACATCAGTGAAATTTACTATTTGAGGATTTGTAGTTTATATATCACAGTTAATAATACATTTTTCAAAATACTGTTTTGTTATTTTTAAAAGAATGACATTTCTGATTTAGGTCCAAGAAAACTGTATAGATCTGGTTGGTCGTATTGCTGACAGAGGACCAGAATATGTGTCCGCTCGAGAATGGATGCGAATATGTTTTGAGCTTCTCGAGTTGCTCAAAGCTCACAAGAAGGCCATACGAAGAGCTACAGTGAACACATTTGGTTATATTGCAAAAGCAATAGGGTGAGTAAACATTTCTTTCTGGGGAGTATTAACATTCTGCCTTGTGAAATATCGAAGATTAATTATGATCAGTGAACCTAGGCAAGAAATGTTCACATAACTTAACAGTTCTCGTGCGTTCACCAGAATTTGATCTCAGCAGGTGGTGGTGTCAGTGACCTCAGAGTTGTCTGAGATCAGTTGCTTTTTTCGGGAGGCTGTCTGATGTTTGTCTGTCCAGGTGTTGATGTCTTCATGGAGGATTCATCCACGTTGCTGACTAGAAACTGCATACGCATACAGGGATTCATTGCCCAGTCATTTATGTGCTCAGAAACATGTAGATGTTCACATAAAGTGGCTGTGACTTGTCTGATTTATTCAAAATTGGAATGTGTTGATAAATTTTAATAAAACTCCCCATTATCAGATTTAATGAAATCTCTGTGTCAATTCTCAAGTTACATGCAGACAGGCTCATAACAAGATGTTAATAGGCACAGTTTTTGTTTCTTTAGTTGCGAACAACCATAGAAGGTGAACTGTGAAACGTTACACATGGATCTATTTTTGTGTGTTGATGTTATTTAAACTAGTAATGTTTGTTTTATGCAAACGAATTTTTTCTTAATTCTCTCTTTTTTTTTAGCCCCCATGATGTGTTGGCTACGCTGTTGAATAACCTGAAAGTCCAGGAGCGTCAGAATCGAGTCTGCACGACTGTGGCCATTGCTATCGTAGCTGAGACTTGCTCCCCATTCACTGTCTTGCCAGCCCTTATGAATGAATACAGAGTTCCAGAACTGAATGTTCAGAACGGTGTTCTGAAGTCCTTATCGTTTTTGTTCGAATATATTGGGGAAATGGGCAAGGATTACATTTATGCTGTTACACCACTGTTAGAAGATGCCCTGATGGACAGGTATGTAGAAAGTAGCGCCTGTATTGTAATTAAACCCTTCATTCATGATATATCTGTACAAGTTATATTAATCACCAGAAAGTTGATTCTTGACCTGAACTGTAGAAAACTATTTGAAATAATTGCCATTCCCTATCCAAGGTGCAGATTATTCAAAGTTTGCTTAGTATGTAACAAAGTACATTGAACCCCCCTTATAATGTTTTTCTGTTGAAATCGTCCTTGCATTTACTGCTACATTTCTATAGTCCAAACCACATTGTCTCTCATAAATTTCCTCCTTTTAAGATTTGAAGATCTGGGAGCAGTAAAGATGTTGGCATTGGTATTCTTGGTTGTAGTGCCACGCGGAGTATGGAGTTAAATTTGAAGAACTAAATGTACATGTTTATAGCATTGGCTTGCAAACTTGAGGACGAATCAGTGCTGTGGACATACTTTTCTGCTTTAGTTTTAAATTTTCTACTTGCAGCGAACCGTAAATGGGTTCGAGGGAACTCCTTTTTCATAAGTGAAATAGCTCGCTATCAGCTGACTGGATCCTAAATGAGGAAGCATAAAAGAAGACTCTCTAGAGAGAAACTAGAAACTGCTTGTTAATAATATATCACTTAGTTCAGCTGCCCAGATTTTCAGCTTTAAATTCCTGAACTTCAACTACTACACTCTGGAAGGCAGTGGTTTAATGATTTTGCATGGCATTTGTCTGTGGTTTCTTTCAGAGACCTTGTACACAGGCAGACAGCTTGTGCAGCCATCAAGCACATGGCTCTGGGTGTGTATGGGTTTGGCTGTGAGGATGCACTCATACATTTACTGAACCATGTGTGGCCTAATATATTTGAAACATCACCACATCTTGTACAAGCTTTCATGGACTCGATTGAAGGCCTTCGTGTTGCTTTGGGACCAAATAAAATACTTCAGTATGTGTTACAGGTGAGTTCAGAAATGTGTATGTAGTGACTAGAAGCTCACTCGCTGTATTTTTTACAATTACTCTTCTTTTAACTTTGGATTTTTGAGTTGTTTTATACCCACAAATGAAGCAGAGTGCATAAAATATGAGATTACTTTTCTGAGACATGCCTGGCATCCGTGGTATACATTGAAACCCTGTGTTCGTACAGTATTAAAGTGATTATTATTAAAGCAGTGGTCATTAGATTTTCATTACCATTATAAGTACTTGCACAGTTAATCCACATTTTTTTTAAGCATGTTGGTTTTAGTATATCTTATTAACCCGTCGACGTGGTAGTTTAAATACCCCGCATATACTGCTGTCGTGCTGTTCCTGCGGTAGTATTTTTTAAATGCCCGTTTAAATTTTGCTGTAAAATCCTCTTTTTTTCATAACTTTTGAACTATATGAGATATAATTATGAATTTTTCACTGAAATCCTCTTAAAAGATGGTTTTATAATCTTACCTTATAAGATGAGATGTGTGAGCAGTGGAAGCAAGTCGATTAGAAGTTTAGTTTCAGAAAAAAACGGAGTGTACAACAGCCGGTTCTTTGAATAGTAAGATCTAAGTGTAGGCTTTTGCACAATGCCCATCAACATAAATAGAGCCAAAAGAACGTAAATTTTGTCTACTGTGACATCTTGCCTCTTCCTAATCCTAGAGCGAAATGTGAGAGGATTGGCACTTTTTGATATTTCTTGCTGAGCATATCTGTTGGTTTGATCAGCAATGTGCTGCACAAGTGCTATATCGAAAATATTTTCGAATGAACTCACGACATCTAGTTCAGCAGTGTCGAACTGGGGACCACATACATTACAAAATGCTTCTCGTGAAGCAGGAAATGAGTCTATATTTTCCCACAAAAACTTGTTGGAAACCACACCTGCATGTACGATGTAGTCCTGTCGACCACGTCTACCATTATCACAATCACTATCGCTAAACACGACAGTTCCCGGTGTCACAAACTGTGTATAATCAATGTCAAATACACTATCATCGTCCGAACTATATTCACTTATACTATCATCTTCTAAAACTTCATTTAAAACTTGTATTTCTTCAAGCTCCGTCAAGGGTCGACTTGTCGAAGAGAAAGCCATTGTAAACTACCAGGTCAGGCCTTTATTTTTAGACTCTCCCTTGCAGGTCATTGGAATGTAACCCTGTTGCCACATGTATACACATAGAGCTTTATTTCCACAACAGGCGAGAACAAACCTCATCGCGCTGGCGTTATTTATTCCATACTTATGGCGTTTTAAATTAGGCTTTGAGGCTCGCGTGTTTATACGTAAATCCACAAGAACTTTAATTTAAATGCCCGCGTGTGTACACGTAAAACCACGTCTGAGGGTTAACATATTTTTGCCACAGTCTTACTGTAAGGTCTCTTATAGACTCATATTAAGTTTTAATGTAAAACCATTTTGTTTTTTCATACCATGCAATATTAATGCCAGTTCCACATTCAGGCCCCTGTACGGCCTAGACCAAGTACTGTACGCCCAAGGGATGTTGAAAAAAATTGCAGAACTGTGAAAAAATTTGGAATATTTACAGCATTCACACCATGATTATGTTGTGGAACATAAACTAAACCAAAAAATTAAATCAAAATGAAAATCTGCTTATACAGCATCCCATGAAATGCAGGAAGTCCACTTTACACCAGAATCACCAAATATAAACACAACACAAAGATGGGAGAAATATCCAAGCCTAAAAGTAGCCGGGCACTCATGGGATGAGGACCACATTAATACAATTAAATAAAGAAAAAATTATAAACAAAGATAATTCACCTCTAAATACTGGAACAAACAAATTCTTTTGCCTGTTTGGGTGTGAAACATGATACATTACATCAAGGAAAGAACACGGATCAAGTTAGGGTGATTGGGAACAATTGTGAGGGGCATATTTGTACCTAAGAGGGATGAAGTGACATGAGGCTGGAGAAAATGGTTCATAAACTATCAGCATCTCAAGAAGGGATCTGCCTGATGCAGTTAATTATGTGAAAATTTGGTTATAAAGAAGTTTTAACAAAATTATTTGTAATGCTATTGGAGAGGTAAATGGAAGACCAAATCATTTTAAATGCTGTGATTACTCGCTCACTAACAGATAACACATTTATTCGCTTTGTTTATTACTTCTGTATATGGGGTATAATGGCAGACAACTGACAGGACTTGAAATTAAATCATTTATACTTCTCTTTGTTATTGTTGCAGGGTCTTTTCCATCCTGCAAGGAAAGTTCGTGATGTGTATTGGAAGATTTACAATTCCCTGTATATCGGCGGGCAAGATGCATTGGTTGCTGGCTACCCCAGGATACTTAATGATCCTAAGAATCAGTATGTTCGTTATGAGTTGGATTACATTCTTTAAAAAACTGTATTTAAATAGCTAGTTGAAAAAGAATTCTGTAATTTAGTTTCAAGCACCTTAGTTACATGTATATCACTTTCATTTTACTTGTTGGTGTCAAGTGCAGTTGTGCCCATGTATGAACTTCCACTTAAATATTAAATGCTATATCATATTTACTCATAAATCATTTGCTCTTGAAAGAAGTTGTCATTTGTATTGCCAACATTTTGGAATTGTTATTAAAAAACAGAGATTTCTCTGATGTAAGTAGAGTAACACACTTGAAATAGATTTTTTGAATTGTCTTCACTTGCATAATTTTTGTCCACTTTTGAACCAGGATTGTAAATAGAACTGAACATGGCTGTCTTATGGGTTGTAGCACCACTTGGTCTGGTCAAAGTTTACCATTTCAGTGATCCTTGCCTCCTCCATCATCAGGGTGATGATGGAGGCGGCAAGGACCTCTGAAACGTTGGTAAACTTCCACCGGACATGGCATTACAACCTAGAAGACATCTATATTCATATTCACTGCCGTAAGAATCTCAAATCCTGCTTAGTAAGGAACCGTTTTCTTGATGGCTGTAGTTGCAGAACTACAGTATAAAATATTGTTCATACAAAAGTTTATTTGCAAGTATATTGTTGTGGCTATGTAAGTTAATTTATTTTTGCCATTTAAAACAAAGTAGATTTCTCTGTGCATTCCAAACTTTATGAAAAATCTCTGTTGGTTATTCTCATATCCGTTTGGACAATAGAAGTGTTGGAAAGTAAGTACAAAATTAAAAATTTCAGATAATATCACATAGCTCTTGTATGCACACTGTCACGTAAAAGATTGGACATACTCTGGATCTGAGTTTCCAAAGAATGAATTATTAAGTATGGGCCATTCAGTAATTAGCATAAATTTTGTATTTGTTTGTTAGTTGGGCTAATGAGAAACTGTGAAATAGCCATTCCCTAGTCAGTATTCAGACTGGTACCCGTAGTACGTTGCATTTTACTCATCAGCAAAGACCATAAATTTAAACAAGAAACAAATAGAAATGTGAAAAAGTGTGAGTTTTGGCAAGTGCATGGAGGTAGTTTACTTTGAACTGAAAATTACCCAAGAATTGTTCCTCATTAATGGAGGAAGTTATTAAAAATTCTGGTCCCTTAGTTTGAATTAATGTGCTTTTACTGTATTGCTCTTCTAACATGATGTAATTGTTTCTGGTTTGAAAAACAGTCTTAATATAGCTTACTTTTTAATGTATGAACTTTCCATCAGACCAGGTTTTCTACAAATTTTACAACTTGAATTTATAAAACCGTTGGCACATGCAACTTTGTTTTTTGTGTTATCTTGAAGTATGTTTCCTCTTGTACAGTATTTCCTTTCATTTGCTGCCTGATTTAACAGCTTAAAATATATTTGATATCACAATGTGACTTGGTAATTATGAATCGAAGGTCATTCATTGCTAAGTACAAAGCAGAAGGATAGTAATGGTATTTTACTGTAGTTCTTACTACAGTTTTATGAATGAAGATACTTCATTATCCTCTTCTAGCATCATTATGTATTCCAGCAGTGGTTTCCTTTGTATTAACCATAAACTATTTGAACTACATAAATAAATCAAAAGGGTAAATTCTAATTCTGTAGTTATTTTATGTATGTAAGCTTCACCCAACTGTAAACATACTAACACTGGTCACAGTGGGCATTACTTTGGTGCAGACAGTGACTTTAGTGTGATATTCCTCCCAACAGAGTAATAACAAATGCCTCAATTGAAATTTGGCTAAATACAGTGTTGAGGACATTACATTCTTATTTGTATTATATAATACTCATTTTCACTGATTTTCCTGTAATAAATATTGGTGTTCTCTCTTGAGTGGAATCTACATCTGCCAAAGAATTATGAGATGATGTGTTCTGTGAACCAGTGTTTGTTTCCCAGAGAAATAGCTGAATGAATAGAAGACCATTACAGCCAATAGAACAGTGGCAATGTTAGATTTTGATACAGAAGTACAAGTAAAAGCAAGTGTTAAATATGCATCATCAATTTAAAATTGTTCAGTACAGTACTGATGCTTTCAAAGCATTACCTCCTGAATCCAAGGGTAATTGGTTTCAGAACCTTACATGATTCTGGAAGTAGACGTGAAATTAGATACTCATGTATAGCTACGATTTAATAGCATGGAGCCGAATAAAAAATACCTAACCTACACGCCGCAATTTTTTATATATATATATATAGAGAGAGAGAGAGCATGGAGCCGAATAAAAAATACCTAACCTATACGCCGCAATAATATGTTCGGAGCTGAAAACACTACTAATGAGACTGTATTATCTCCTTTAGGATATCTGTCGTTTACAAATATATATTTTTCTGTTTCGTGTGAAACTTTGAACATAAAAGTAGGTAATCAATAATGGAAATCTCATTGAATATATAGTACTGTACTTCAGTACGGTTGCCAACACGATGTGATGAAAATACCTTCGTCCAACTGAGTACAGAAATTATTCTTCCTGGCATCCGAGTTACGAAGTAATACTGACGTGAAATAGAAGTTGAAGTGTAGTTATAATCTGTTATGTTAAATATGTTGTAAAATCTGTGATTTACTTTTACAAATGTCCTGAATCTCAGCCTTTCATGTTGGTATAATCTGTGATTTCATACATCAGGAGCGTTGCAGTGAATTACGAAATTCGGAGGGCTCTTTACCCTTTTTCATGGTTGTCAGTTGTGGTCACATAAGTGGTGCGAGGACATTTTAATGCCACATGTCTTTATTGGCATGATATTCCCTTTGTAAAGGTTGTCTAAATATATAATAGTAAAAAAATACCACAGTGAGCTTAACTCAGTTTCCCATCTCGAAGTTACTTTGCGAGAGTGCCCTTGACGTATCTAAGATTATTAGTTACAGATGATTTACTTCTGCGAGTGCATGTTTCTTCATGTGGAGAACAACTTATCATACCAATTTACATACATTTTCCTTCACGAAATTAGAAGATTTTCTTAATCAAGCTGTGGGCTCCGCTGCAATCTCCCATGACATGCGATCCATGAATAATTGGAATGAAATTATAAATAACTATGTTCGGCTATTGGTACCACTGACGAATATCGCAGTTCAAGTTGTTATAGCGAATGAGAGAAACGTCGGCAACACGTTGAAGATGGTAGCTGTAGAGGATGAGTCTTTTATACCAGCTGCAAAATTGGCAACTGATGAGAGACTGGAGTGGGTTCCTCTATCCTTAACACTAGTAGAGTATCCCCAAGGTAACTGTGCTAAAGAATACGTTTATGTTGATTAAGGTTATACATTTTTTTCAGTATATTGTATGAAGGGTATTAACATTGTTGCATGCAGATAAGTGAGGGACTGAATATCTAAATAAATAGTTTGTCGAAGTGCCAACTTGAATTGTATAATTCTGCAGTGTATTACGATTTACGTTTGTATGGCGTCTTAAGTGCTTGAGATGCCAATATATATATTGCATAGGGACATTTGTAATTGCAAGATTTGCGGATGAATGGATTTGGTTATAGGTCACTTTTATTAGGTGCTTAAAACCAGATTAATAATAATTTGTGGTAGGATGTGTGGTGTTACAGATGCTTATTTATCGCCGGTAATGAGTGTTGTTTCATGACATTTGTATAATCTAGGTACACTGCTGATGTTTTTCATTTGTTAGGGTTACACTGTAAAAGAATTGGGTTGAAGTCATGAGAAATGTGTCATTCTAGTATCTTATGCCTACATTTTAGGAGTTAGACTTCTTCAGTGACTAACTACATAGTAGTTGGTTTCTCTTCACATGTTCGTATTCCCATGGTTTTGTGGAATTTGTGGGTTCACTATTAACAACGTTTCCATTGGGACTATCTTCCATACATTCACATCCTATTTTGTTAAGATTTACTTAAGTAATATTCTGTCTGTGCTGATAGGAATCCCTTTTCTCCTCAAACTGTATATTACAGCAACAATTCCATTGTTATGTTTGTGCCATTCTGTGTATTGAAATAGCTCGGTATTAATTAATGAACTTTTTTTTAGCATTTCCATTGTTAAAGAATTTTGGACACCTTTAATATTCCAACATCTTCAAGCATGGAAATAAGTGTTAGCATATGTTACAACTACTTTAGTTAGCGGCATGTTTAATCTCCTTGTAAGAGTAACTGTTGATGCTGACAGTTGTGTTATCCAGGTTACGTCATATATACAGATGAGTGTGAGGTGTATCTTCTTTGTTTGGATATTTTCTTCTCTCAAGATGTAGTTAGTTCAGTGCTTAATTCTAAATTTTGTTATTCAGGACTTGACTTCAAGATCTGTATTTTGGTAAATTCAATATTGGTTGCATTTTCATTCTTCCTTTATGTGCTGAATAAACACAATGTCAAATTTAACATGACATGTTTTGGGCCAGCCTTTCTGGTTAAATTATTTTTTTGGTTTTCTTAGGTTAGGGACTAAACCATTTTTGCACTTTTAGAGAGCACTTTTAATCACGTGTGAATATTGGGTTCAAACTCTTCTACTTTGGGGCTTCCGGCCTGTTTTTAACACCATGGTAAATGTTTCACTCAGTGAAAATCCACTCTGTTTAAGTTTTGATCTGTTAATGGCTGGGTTCAGCAAAACTTTCAGCTTCTTAAATGTAGTTTCATACTGGTTTTGTCAGATTTTAAAAAGGCTTTACAAAGGTCATAATGACCAAACTATTTGCTGATATATGTAAAAACTTTGCAGCAGTAGATTCCTTGAGAAAAACTGCTGCTGTACACCAAATGTTGAATTTGTTAGTGTTTAAATAACGTAGATATTTACAGATCTGTGCAAAAAAGAAACGATTGCCACATGCTAAAAACTGTCCAATTTCATTAATTAATATCAAGGAATTTAGTCATAAGAACCAATACTTTGGGGAAACGTTTGCTTCTTGGATATCTGCTTGTAAAATAAAATTATAAAAATTTGTGACGATATGGTAGATAGCATTGTTGGATTTGACATGGAATGACCCTATACAGTTACACGTTCAATTAAATTTTCTCCTGTAACAGCTTGTATGTGATGCAATTTTTATCTTGAAAACTTATATTTTATGGTAGGGATTTTAAAGTCAGAACGCTGGGCTTGTAATCCTGGGGTCCCGCGTTCGATTCCCGGTGGTGCCCGGATTTATAACTTGTGTTGAGCAAGGCCGTGGTCCAGGTATCACGGAGTTTTCCTCCGGGGCTTCCCCGGTTTTTCCGTGGCATCCCAACAATTACTCTATTTTCATCATCATTTACACACAGAAGAAGGCAACGGCAAACCACTTTTGGATCATTTGCCGAGGAAACACACGAACAGGTCCCTATCAGAGGGAACTTGTTCATAATGTCACCAGGGGTCAGCTCTGACCTGATGGTACCAAAAACAAAAAATGTATGTTCATAAAGCAGCAGAGATGTGAATCAGCATTTGTTATATCACTCAGAACAAATAAAATAAATGAACTTGTAGTAACTGGTAAAATATGTATGTAAAAAATGGGCCTGCTTGCAAGTGGTCTCAGGCTGTACATGGCCCATGGGCTGCTACTTGGATCACCATGGTTCAGAGGTACACGCTGCTGCTATGCTTGGCCAGCGGAATCACAGGTTTGACATGATGCACAGATGACAAAGTAGACATCGCAGAAAATGGTTTTGATGTTAGAATTGGATTCAGATTGAATATGTGGTCCAGAATCAGTATTTTATTGAGATAGACTTTACCTGATTTTCCCAAAATTTGATTAAGTTACTAGAGGCCACATCAACTGCCTCTTTTATCTTTATCTACACTCAGGAGTAACAACATGACAGGCACGCAGTTCTGAATTCTGAGATGGGAGTGAGACTAGCGTTACTTAATGTAGGGGCCGGAAGTGATCTTTAGCAACAGACCTGATTAGAGAAGGCAGGCTGTGCCCCTTTTGAATTATACCTTGGCATTTGCCTTACAACAGGAAAGGAAGTGAATGGTTAATATGTGGTTAGGAGGAGGATCAGGCTGAAGTGACTGGCAAATGAGAGCCATTGGTTGAGGAGGGGAGATACATCTGTGTCCGGGCCAATGGGAAATGGCCTGTTTGAGGGCACCAGAGGAGGGCTGGGACTGGAGAGAAAGAGGACGAACAGCCATTTTAAGGGCCAGAAAGGAAGGTAGGATCAAGAGAGTGCCGTTCTTGAAGAGAAATTTCTGTGTAGATGATGTGCACTAGTATACCTGAAGACAACTATATGTGCTCACAGTGTCATGGAAACCTCATCCTGCAGATTTGAACACGTTTCTTCTGTCCGTGTTTCCTCTCTGTCTCACAATTTAGAAGATATAACTCTCTAATATTTTATAATGCCTTGTGTCTAATATTGGAAATTCAATCATGTTTATGCGTTTCTTAAACTTGCTAACAAAAGCAAACTTTTGACCTTTGCTGTTTTTCTCTGATTTACAGTTTAGAAGGCGAGAAATACAGCCTGACCTGAAAATTGCTTTAGTATTGTAATCAATGCCACTTTTTATGAGGGAGGTGGGTAGCAGTAACTAATGTTCTTTATTTCTTTGTTGAGATGATTCAGCTGTTGATTCCATTTGGGATTCCCGTAGAAGGATATGAATGATAGACTCAAACAATCTTAGCAACCAATTATAGGAGATTCCAAAATACTGTGTTTTCTCACCTTAATTTCACATAACACACGCTGAATCCTCTGTGCATCTTGTTACACATGGCCAATCACATTGCTCGCATGTGTAAAATTTTAGAAATGTGTGACTAGATAACTACCAAGGAAAATGTTTTAATTCCCTTAACAGACTGCACAAAGATGACCCCCCAAAAGTTGCTTCAGCGCAAATCTAAGTTATGGACCAGTGGTTCTCATCTGGCGTACTACAAGCTTTTGCCAAGTGTGCCACGAGGCTTTGAATACAAGAATGATTATATAAAATTAAAGTAAAGATTGTGAACAATGAGAGTCAGAAGATTTCTGTCTTCTGGGTTGTTGCGCTGTGTAGTCTGGTCGATGTTTACCAACGTTTCAGAGGTCATACTGCCTCCATCATCAGAGAATGAAGATTTCCGTCTTCTGGGTTGTTGCGCTGTGTAGTCTGGTCGATGTTTACCAACGTTTCAGAGGTCATACTTCCTCTGTCATCGCCCTGATGACGGAGGCAGTATGACCTCTGAAACGTTGGTTAACATCGACCAGACTACACAGCGCAACAACCCAGAAGACGGAAATCTTCATCCTCTCCGCTGTGAAAACCTCAAATCCTACAATGAGAGTCAGCTTTACTGAGCAGATTTGTTTTGGTCCAGGAATGTCTCTTGTTGGGAGTCCCTTCTGTAGTATGAGTTATTACTGTGAACCTAACATTAACAAGTCTCTTCCTATTCTCATTTTCTGCATAATTATTGTAAGTTATGAACCATTGTTAAATAAACTAAAGAAAGGCAATTTGTTTCAGGGGACTGGTTAGGCAAATTGCTGGCTGTTTCCAGCTTGCTGCCATTTGGGATTCTCTCAGGTTTCGTAGCTCTCATTCTCTTCCGTAGGGATTTGCACACGGTAAGGAACTTTACTGCCTACTGCTAAGTGGATAATAATTAATGAATGATATTTATGAATGTTTTTGCATCAATGATACATAGTATTTGGAGGTTTAAATGCAGAATGTACTTTATATATGTAAAATTCATTATGCACTTTAAGGTTTTAATATTTGTGTTTGATAGTGACAAGAGAGATGTTAAGTGATTTTACCAAATATGCTAAAAATAATGTGTTGTGATATATTTCACTCCATGTGCATTTAACTGGTGTTGGAATATTTTTTAATGTTTAATTTCAATTTTTAAGTATTTAATTGTTATATATTCAACAGTTTTAACTGAATGATATTGGTGCTTAAGACAATGGCATTCAGTTTATGGCAGAGAGCAGCCTGCCATTAAATGTTGCGGGCACGTGGGTATTTTAAATAATAAATTAAGATAATTATTATTTTTTTAGATAACATTCTTCTTTGGCACAACATTAAATGAAATCCTGAACCTAGTGCTCAAGTACACCTTCTGTGAAGCAAGACCAATACAGAGGAGTGCCCTCTACACAGAATATGGAATGCCATCATCACATTCGCAATTCATGTGGTTTTTTGCCACGTACATGATATATTTTGTGTTCATACGGTACGTATATAAATGTGCAGTGGACAGTCAGGGGTTTTCCCAATCTATGGGTCGTGCAGGTGTTTGAGAATCGGGTGTTGAGGAGGATATTTGGGCCTAAGAGGGAAGACGATGGGGCGTGGAGAAAACTGCACAATGACGAGCTTAAAAATCTGTACTGCTCCCCCAGTATTGTGAGGGTGATTAAGTCGAGAAGAATGAGATGGGCGGGACATGTAGCGCGCATGGATGGGACAAGAGGTGTGCACCGGGTACTGGTTGGGAAACCTGAAGGGAAGAGACCGCTGGGGAGACCTAGACGTAGATGGGAGGATAATCTCAGGCGGGATCTATGGGAGATAGAAATTGAAGGAGACTGGATTTTGTTGGCCCAGGACAGGGTCCGGTGGAGGGCTTTGGTTAATTCGGTGATGAACCTTCAGGTTCGGTAAGCCATCTAGTTAGTTAGTTAATGGGTCGTGGCCTGCGAGTGGCTCTTAATGTCCGTACAGGTGGGTTGTAATGATAGAGCATTTGTCCTTTAATGAAGCTGATGAGCTTGAAATTGTTATACTTTTGCTGTTGTCAGTTATGAAAATAAAGATGTGGAATGAACGGTTTATCTCAAAAGTATATTTTCTGTTATCTGTCTGTCATAAAGCACGACCGGGGCGTGATACTGACCAATCACCCCCATCTAGTGCCGAGGTCAAGGATGAGTAGGAGCTATTCCTTCTCTCCCCCCCAAGTGCCTATGTAGCGTATAGTGGGACGGATTTACTTTTTTACATAGAAATATGTGTGCAGAGCTGCCAGTATGCCTAACAAATGGTGTCTGAACCAAAATACTGGAATTACCTTATTTGCTTGTTTGAAATTTTAAGATGACATTCATTATACTCGTATTAGGTAGCTCTGACGTGTGGAAAATGAAGTGAGAGAATTGTCTGTTTGAGAAATATCAAGTTACCAACCTATTTTCTACATATTTTGGCATGAAATGTAATGAAGAACATAGTTGTTTTAAGCAAGGTTTTACTGCACTAGGCTCAACTCAAATTTGTGTGTATAAATTTTTGTGTACATCTGTCTAATTTTCGAAATGCCATCACAAGTTTTGCAAACTTTCCAAACCTTAACACAAAATAAATAAATAATTTAAAATGAAGATTTTACTTCCTCAGAATACTTTTTAAGCTCCTGTCAACATTAGCCACATTTTTTCTAATGTTGGTATTTTGAGTTATTTAGGGGAAATTAAGAATCAAGACTAGCTTCAAATAGCATCACCACTGTATTAAATGTTTTGAAAATCTGATGATCTGTTCTTGAGTTAATGTATGACGGATGACCACCAGTATAAACATGGTTATGAGAAATGTGCAGCGACTGAATTTTGTTTTTAGGTTGCAGCATATGAATAACAATGCTTTACTAGAAAATGCATGGAAGACAGTCATCACAATAGTGTGTGTTTCTCTGGCAGCATTAGTGACCATCAGCAGGTATGTCTAATTTTTGTAATTCGTCAATGCTCTTTTATAATTTTTTTAAGCTCGTCATGCCTCCTATGTAGAAAGAACAGAACTGTACAGACGCATATGTGTGAGAAACCTGTTCTCTCACATTAATGAAGACAAACATTGATTGACTATTTATAATAACGGGGCACTGATGCATCCATGGGCTAGTTAGTTAGATAGTTTTAATACAATCTGAAAGGTATATTGTTTGGAATATACAGAAGTTCCAGAGGTGTTCTCTCCACCAGATTCCGCATGACATTATCTCCTTAAATTTATATAGGAATGGTGAGCTGGGGTAGCTCAGTCAGTATAGTGACTGACTACGGAGGGTGAGAGGTTTACGGTGAACCGTGGTACCGCAGACAGTTTAGCCGCAAGGAGGCAGTGGAATGCTGCAGAGATCTCTCCTCAAATAACTCCTTTGGTCAAGTAAATTGTGGAGGACCTCAGTCATCACAGATGAGTAGCTTGGAAGACATAAGGATAGGCTACTGGTGGAGGGAGACTGACTCCATGTTGTACAAGTCTTGTTAGCCACCGATGATTCGCACTGTTTCACTCGAGTCATGCAGATTGTGTACGCCATAGTTAAATGTGACAGACAGACATGAATGTGCCCATAAGGTGTTCTTCACTCATGCTAGAGCATGAAGAATGCTAAAATATATATTAAAAGACTATTGGATCTTTTATACAAATTGTTTAAGTAATGACTAGTAATTAATTAAATTTAGTTACTGTTTAGAACATGGTTTAACAGGAGCACACTGGAAAACATCTGTGGATTCAGATTATCGCCACTTAAATACTTATTGAGCTACCACTGCTTTAAATTCAACCACAGTAGTTATCATCAATTTTGAATCATGAATTGAAAATGGTGGGTTTGGAAGCAGCTGCGTACCATACATTGACACTAAAAATGTGGATTTCCATCTTGTGATGCAGATAAGGATTGTTACATGTTATTGCCATCAGAAGTAGTAGTCATACCAAGAAATACACGTTGTACATTGACGTTTCTTCCGTGAAACTGATGTTTAGGTAGACATTTTGTCTGAAACATTCTTGCTTATTACTTGTATGTACAGAACATGTAAAAAGTTGTGCATTCTGCCCAATTAATATACTATTTACTCTTTATGAGTAAAAGAATTGTGATAATGTATTTTATCCATACTTATTAATGATACATTTTCTTTGTTTCATTACAGAGTGTATCTTCAGTACCATACGTGGAAGCAGGTTCTTAGCGGAGCTCTGGTTGGCTTCCTCTTTGGTTCACTCTGGTTTGCTCTAACCTACCTGATCTTTACGCCTATATTTCCACTTGTTGTCTCATGGTGAGTGAATGTCAAGAAGGTGTTTGTGTGTTAACATGCTACAGTTGAGTGGTTAGCATTTCTGCTTCTTTTTGTAAACATTCTGGGTTCATTTCTTGTCCTGCAGACAAAGTATCATGACACTTCTGCATTAATTCCGAGTTCTTCATTTGTAGTCATTCTATTCCTTGGCATTATAAACTCAGGCAGTTGAAAATGCATCGTGAAAGAACCAAGAGGAAGTGATATTATATTTCCTCATGACATTCACGTATGACTTAGATTCCTTTTCTGTATTACATGGATACATTTACACTAGGGCATTGAGTGTTTTTATATGTGAAGTATAGCTCCACTAGGAAGAGTGGGGGGAAATTCGGAAGCAAGCTTGACGGCATTAGAGTTCCCAGTAGAAGCATTATTCATAATCTAAGTATTCTGGTCAAAATATTAACAGTGATCTGAGTCCAATATTGTTCTGCAGTACATATAATCTTTTAAGAAGAATGTACCCTTAATCTATTCATGCAGAGTCCAGGGCCCCTTGAAGCATGATCAATGGCAGCTCCACAAGTACACCCCTAATTATCGGTCTCAGTTGATGTCTTTACTTACTTTGGTTTAGTATTGTGGTTGAGTGTTTAATGCACCATATTTGGGAAATTCCAAGTTCAGTTCCTGGGCTGGAAGAGGCTGGTTATTTTGACAGATATTTCAGTGGTGTCCTTTCCCTGCAGACGCATTCTGGGGTAGGACTTAGACTAGGCAATGATCGCTTCCTCATATACACTAGTTTGTCATTCTATATAATCACTGCGATTGAGAAAGCATCATTATATAAGTTTATAAACTAACTTCTTAATGTGTGTGTTGTGCATTGCAGGCGGATATCAGAATTCTTGCTGCTGCGAGATACGACACTGATCCCCAATGTTTTGTGGTTTGAGTACACAAACAGCAGGCAGGAGGCTCGGGCTCGAAGTCGCAAGTTGGTCTCTATGAAGTCCCAATGACAGCTGCTTGGCTTCCCCGGTCATATTGTCGGTGGTGGAGGCCTTCTGCATAATCTCATCCATTTTTACTGGGCACGTAAGAGGTAGTAACTCAGCCTCAGGCCATGACTCATTATTGCCTCATTTGTTTTGAGGTTTTGACTTAGCACTGCCTTATTCAGTTCTACCGGACTCATTACTGTCTCACTCGTATCTTGCCGACAGCTTGAGGTAGTAAAGCCTCGTTAGTTCTGCAGGTAACAGGATTTAGTGATTCAGCATTGCCTCACTCCATTCTGATGGGCAACAGGAGGCAGTGCCTTGTTCCAAAAGGCATAAAAGACAGTGAATTTGACACTCTTGTTTAAAGGCAGCATCATTTGGCAGCTGTTACGGAGTATCCTTCATTTGGATTTATATCCAGTAAATGGTTGCATTGACTAATTTGACCTCTATGCAATAAAGTGGATTTCCATTATATGATATTTGAGGTTTTCATGATGGTTGGAGTTCAGATTGTGGTGTTCTGGGTTGTGGCAACAGTGTAGTCTTGTAGGTAGTTACCATTGTTTCTAAGGAACATATTCCTCTATCTTCTGCATGGCATGTCAATCCAGAAGATCACAGTCTGGATTTAAGATGCATTTATGTTGTGTAACAGGTGAGCAGATTTCAGATTTTAAGCACATTGAAGCACAAGACTTTAATCCTCAAAAGCACAAAGCGTGTGATCTTAGTGTGACACCGCAGCAGAGGGTACAGTCACACTGGCAGCCCTGATGACTGCTTCCGGGGATCGTATGTTTGAATCCAACTCAGGACATCCATATTTGCATGTGTGTGGTGTCTTCATTATAATTCATCATCAACTTTCCAGCTCATCTAGCTCCAAGGTAGCGCAGTCCAGCAATCAGTGACAGAAAGACAAAAACTAATTTATAATTGAATTTTTATTTTCAGTTTTAAAATGCACGTGACTAGCAGTTTAATTACTTTCGTGCTCGGTTGAATCTTTACAACATTGCCTGTTAGAAACCAGAATAAGATTTTAAAAATGTGATATATTGTTTTTCTGTCATGGGACAGTTTTGAAATTATTGGTATTTGTTGTTAATGCATTTAATTTTGCTACGTGGAGGGGTTGAGTGTGAACCTTGTTCCTCCACTTATTCTCCGGTGGTATACTTAATCAGACTTGTGTAAGCAGTAATGGGGGTTTTAATAAAATGTACTTAAGCACAGCTCAGCAAACAAAATGAGCAATGTCTTTCACTAACTATAAACTTTGGGTTAAATAAATATGACTGTAATAGCAAAAACGAGTTGTTTGAAAAAGTTACCACTCGTAACTGTAATAAATACCAGTCTCCTGTCATAGTTTGGAATGGTACAGACACCAATGCAACATCTTCATTGTCTTCTGTAGGTAAGAAGGTGCCTTACTATTTTTACAGTTTAAGATCACTGCTTCAGCTAACCATTCCACTGTGAGGAAATATCCGCAAAATGATTGATTCAGTGTGTGGTTATATGTAAAGAACAATGTTTTAAGAAATAAAGTGTGGGTTGAAAATAGTATTTGGTAAGAATCTTTTATGAAGGTGATGACAGTATGTGCATGTTGCTAGATTCCTCATTCACTCTCCTACCTGAAGGTAAGCAGACTCAGTTCCAGAGTGATTTTGAATTAAACTTTTTCAAGTGCTTTGGAACATAACTGTCATTCCTAAGAGTGATTCATATAATGTCAAATTCCCAAACCTGCATTGTAATAATTTATTTTGTAATATACTTAGTCATTCCTTCCTGCCTTTTTTCTAATCTGTAGTGCGTAAAAGAAGGATCACATCTGACTGTAGTCTATCTTCCAATTGGCCAACAAACTGAGGAAATGATCACGTAATTGAAATAATAAAAAGTAACTGCCTGATTGCCACGGTGGTGGTCTAGCGGTTAGAACGCTGGTCTTGTAATCCTGGGGTCTCGGGTTCGAATTTATAACTTTTGTTGGGCAAGGCCGTGGTCTAGGCAACACGGAGTTTTCCTCCGGGGGCTTCCCCGGTTTCTCCATTCACACACAGAAGAAGGCAATGGCAAACCACTTCTGGATCATCTGCCAAGAACGTATATGAACAGGTCCCAGTCCGAGAAAAGAATGGAAGGATCCTGTTCATATGGACCTGTCGTCAGACAGAACACTAATAATAATAATAATAATAAGTGCCTATATAGTTCAGAAAAGTAATTTCCACATGTAATTAATGTAGTTCTGCCTCTTCTGTAATATAATTATGTCAATGTTAACAAGTACTATAATGCATCAGGTGAGGATGTTTCCATACTCCGTGTTAAAGGTCTCTTCACCATCAGGTTCGTAGGGTGGCTCGGAATATTTTGAATAAATAGCTGACGAGGTGTTGGTCCTTCAGTTTGGGAATTTGGTAAGGAACTAACAGCTCCTCCTCATAAATAATAAACTTGTTATGAAATGTTTGGCAATTATCACCTTATGTCTTGTCCATAAATGTCATTAATATATCATTTCAAGTTGCCAGAACCAGTAGAACAATTTCAAGGGTGTAGTTAGAGGGATTTCACATGAAATTTATTAGTTTAATGAAAAATCTAGATAGTTTGGTTTTTGTAAGTTTGTTTACTTTTGTTTCATTTGAGATATTGTTATTTCTGTGTGTTATATATATGTGTATGTTCAATACATTTAATTTAATCATTCTCCTTCCGTGGTTCTCCTTAAATACATTCCAACACTATGTACTGTTCAAAATTATAATTCTTTTTTTTCAAACAGCATAAATCACCATGACTACACATTTTTTCAAGTATTGAGCTACTTCCCATTTACACTTTTAGTGACACATATGTGGACTTTGATTATATGATATTGAGCATTTCTAGGTCCATTCTGTAAGTGGCTCAGTAAAACCTTTATTTAACACAGTAGCCTAAGAGACAATGAAAACTACTGTCGTAGCCTCAGCCATAGTTTTTATTGGTTTTGTTCCTTTCAGGTGAGTTTCCTTGCAACTTGACTTTCTCTGTTTTCCACTTTATGAAGTAAACTAGAATTTCCATGGTTTTGAAATTTTCATTTGATTTATTTATTTTTTTCCCCCAGAAGTTTTGCCATTGCTGAGTGCAAACTTGAACTTGAAACCCTTGATTCTGAACAGAATATTTTTCATTAATAAAAGTGAGGAGGGTGTTGTACATTTAATCTTTAGTCCAGCCCCTTCCCCCTTTGTTGCAGCACTGAGGTGGTAAGTTAAGCCTACGTTAACCTGCCAGTAGTATTGTGATGGTTTGCATTTGCAGAAGTTAAAGAGTTGTGCTAAGTATTAATAATGGCATCGCCTCCTGTGGTACAGAACAGGTCTGATTCAATATAATGTCAACTATTTGGTTAACCGTGATTTAAACAGGCCACTGTTCCTGCATCAGCTGCATTGCAAACTAGACATTTGGTTGGGTCTCTTGTACCTTGTTGATGCTTATTTCACATATTATTGGCATTTAGTATTGTGTTTCTACTGAAAGTATTTTTGAATGCATACTGCAGTGTGTTAATTAGATTTCTGTAGAGCTGTATGTGTTGTAGTATAACCTTTTCATAAGATGGAGCCTCCTCCATCGTTCATATGTACCTAAGGAAAGGTTGTGTTTTTAGCATTTTAAGATTTGATAAGAAAAGAAGAGAGTTTCATTTGTACCATGGGGGGAGAAAGTTGTGCTTTTGCTAGAGATAATAGATTAATCTGCTGGGGAAAAGTGAAACCTGAAATACACACAAGTTTTATATTGTAAGAATGCAGCATATATGTTTTGGATGAGTTTAATTTGTGACAAGGAACAGCAGACTGGCCTCTGACCCTCATGCTGATGAAAAGTGTTTATCAGGTGTAGGAAGTTCCTTCCAGAGATTTATTGCATGGGAACTTATGAAGGGACACATTCAGGAAAGGCAGGTGCTAAAAATTTTGGTATGAGACCTTGCTCCCTAAAGTGAAGATGCGATGCTTTGATACAACACCAGGAGTTGAACTGGTTAGTAAAATTACACCTTTTGTGTTGCTGTTTACACAGTCCCCTAGAAAAACTTGAAAGTGAAGGTAAATCTGCTACAGTTGCATTAAAACATGGACATGAAATATGACAAGTAGTTGTCAGAAAATGTATGCAGTGAGAGGGGAAAAAAAGTAAAAGTATAAATGTCATTTGATTTTTATATGAGAGATCCTTATAAATGTATATGTCACTAATATTGGGAATGTACGTAAAAAATTCTAAAAGCATTATTAAGGCAATTCCGTACACGAACATACTTGTGATTTCACTTTGCCAATGATGGGGTTGAAACGGGAATCAGGCTAAAATAAAAGTATTGATGTGGGCCTAAACCATTTTAATATATTGACCATTAACGTCATTAATCCCAGAGTGGATTTTATTACGATGTGCTTGTTTATGGTAGTGCCCGATCATATGAAATTAATTTAAAAGCATTTTTCTTCTATTGGAAATTGAACAGTGGGGTACTTAATCTCAAAATTGTTGCCTGTGCCTCCTGTAACTGAGCGAAGGTTTGCTTCATCTGTGCTCTCTAGTACAAAGATATTTTTCACGTCTTCCTTTTTGCTGCTCCGCTATCCGTAGTATCTTTATTCAATTATTTGTATTTATTATTACACACTAGTTTGTAACTTCTAGTGCGTTAAAGTACTAGCAGTTAAGTTGGATTAAGTTAGCACAAACATGTTTCTCATGTAGCGAGTAGTACAGGTTGTGACATTCCAGGATGTATAGGGCACAGGGACTTGCTTTACTCTCTGCGATAAATCTTAGGATCGGGGAACAACGGTGATAGATGGTGAACAGGCACTGGAGTTGGTGTATTCCGTTTTACTGCATGTGTTGATAGTTTTGCTCAGCGAATTTAATGGTTGCTGTGGAAGGTATTAATGCTTCCCTGGATGCGAGAGAAAATATATGGGATCCGTCGAAATCTGATTAGCATTTTAGACCGACGTTGTGATACTGTTCCAAGAAATCAGATATTCGGACAGCGAATCATGATTGTATCCGACACCAGTATGTTTAGCAGCGGTCTGTTGAAGCTTCGTGTCATCAGCATCGAAGGTGGTGTTTGGAATGTTGACGCTGCTTCAGATATGTCAGTGGACAAGTTGAAAACAATGGCTCTGTGTCATTTTTACAGTCCTATAGAATGTGTGAAAGTGACGTCAAAATATAAATTTGTTTTAGTATCTGAGAAGAGACCACTGGATAATGATCATTCCGTTTCACAAGAAGGATTGAGAAACAATGGTGATTATTGCCCGACTTTGTAAGCATAGTATATATGCACACCATTGATAAAACAAGTCATCTTTTTTGGGGCGTTATAATTCCAACTGAACACTGTTTTTCAACAGATGAACCAAGTCTAAGGTGACAACTAATTTTATCAATTTAGACTGTGGTCAGAAATTTGCAGCAATCGAAAGGAAAAAGTTGATTCCTATTTCGTAGGATTTCATTAACGATGGTTTACTGGTATGAAACATAAATTAGATATTTATACATTTTTCCCAGGAATAATGTGTTACTAGTGTTGTTACCTGCCTGGATTTCTGTCCAGGTTCCATTCCCATTTGTTTAGGATTGGAGACTAGATTTTATAATATCTTTTAACTTAGTGTTGATTTTCTGGTTAGTAATGCCAAGTGGACTTGTAGGAAGATACCAAGGTTTTGGAGAAATTACTTAGCTGCTCTAGGATTAAAAATGCTGTTGATAACTGCAAAGCAAAGTTCATGGACTTCTGTTTACATTGAATTAATAAAATTGCTTCTATTTTAAGATTAATAAACATTAAATCATAATTTCAGATGAACTTCTTTTGGTCGAGTGCCGACAGCCACCGTCCAAAGAGCCCTTCACAGCAGACAGTGTGAGAGCACCCACGATTGAAGAAATCAGAGCTGCCACCCAGACTGTAGAGGGAAAAAACACATTGACACTGAATCCCCCTTTGGAAAGTACTGCAGATGTAAGTGACGCAGTAATTATGTGTCTGATTAATGAAGTTTTATAAATAAAATAACCAAAGATTCTAGGGATTGACTTTCATAATTTCCAGGGGAGATGGAAGGAATTTTTCATTCGGCTACTTTTTAAAGCCATAGTTGAACATTTAAGTGTGCAATTTAAATGGACAACAGATTAAATTGGAATTATATAAAATCAGAATGTAGGGGATTGAAGATAAATTTTTAAGTTACAAGTTTCAAATAAACGTTAGATCATTAAGGTTTTAAGAATTTTAGTTGCATGAAATATTACAGTTTCAGAGCGAAATTCGAAAGATCCTGGTTTCCCTGGTACAAGCTTCTGCGCGTATCCTTACGCCGAGTCCAAATGCTGATGAGGCGTTGAGAGTTACGCAGGAGAGACTGGATGCGAAAGCAAACGCTCATCCCAGTCGTAGAGCGGTCCAACAACTCGTGGATATGGGCTTTTCCGAGCGTGTTGCTTCTAGGGCCCTTTGTCATAACAGGTGTGCTTGAAGAGTTCTGCGGTTGCAGTGAAATTTTTAATTCCTATTTCCAAGTCAAAGTACTTTTATGCTGTTTTCTCCGTCAGATTATCATCTCCACCTCTCCTCCGCAACCAAGCATCTCCACTGTCACTGTCAAATACCCTGTGTAAATAATGTAAGAATATGAAGGAGGTTGTGTTCTGGTTCGTAGTACCATGAAGTATGTATTGTAGTTTATTGCTATTTGTAGAATGAACCCCAGTGAGGCACTGGAATGGCTCCTTGAAAATGGGGCAGGGGAACAATCGGATGTCGCTACAGACCTGAACGTCAAGGCTGCCGCTAGTGAAGGTCGCCTAAGGAGACAGCAAGAAGCAGTACCTGGTAAGACGAGTCTGTCACATAATCATTTATTTTGTGATCTGCCTTGCACGTTGAATTCTTGGAAATTTTTTGGTTAAATAGTAGAAGACGTCATTGCTCTTAAATTTTATCTTTATGTTTGTACGTGCGCTCGTGCATATTGCTGGTATTTAGGGCAGGAATTATACATTACTGAAGATTTCTGTCTTCTGGGTTGTTGCGCTGTATAGTCTGGTCGATGTTTACCAACGTTTCAGAGATCACACTGCCTCCGTCAGACAGAAATCTTCATTCTCTGATGATGGAGGCAGTATGACCTCTGAAACGTTAGTTAACATCGACCATCCTACACAGCGCAACACCCCAGAAGACAGAAATCTTCTGGGTTGTTGCGCTGTATAGTCTGGTCGATGTTTACCAACGTTTCAGAGATCACACTGCCTCCGTCAGACAGAAATCTTCATTCTCTGATGATGGAGGCAGTATGACCTCTGAAACGTTAGTTAACATCGACCATCCTACACAGCGCAACACCCCAGAAGACAGAAATCTTCTGGGTTGTTGCGCTGTATAGTCTGGTCGATGTTTACCAACGTTTCAGAGATCACACTGCCTCCGTCAGACAGAAATCTTCATTCTCTGATGATGGAGGCAGTATGACCTCTGAAACGTTAGTTAACATCGACCATCCTACACAGCGCAACACCCCAGAAGACAGAAATCTTCTGGGTTGTTGCGCTGTATAGTCTGGTCGATGTTTACCAACGTTTCAGAGATCACACTGCCTCCGTCAGACAGAAATCTTCATTCTCTGATGATGGAGGCAGTATGACCTCTGAAACGTTAGTTAACATCGACCATCCTACACAGCGCAACACCCCAGAAGACAGAAATCTTCTGGGTTGTTGCGCTGTATAGTCTGGTCGATGTTTACCAACGTTTCAGAGATCACACTGCCTCCGTCAGACAGAAATCTTCATTCTCTGATGATGGAGGCAGTATGACCTCTGAAACGTTAGTTAACATCGACCATCCTACACAGCGCAACACCCCAGAAGACAGAAATCTTCTGGGTTGTTGCGCTGTATAGTCTGGTCGATGTTTACCAACGTTTCAGAGATCACACTGCCTCCGTCAGACAGAAATCTTCATTCTCTGATGATGGAGGCAGTATGACCTCTGAAACGTTAGTTAACATCGACCATCCTACACAGCGCAACACCCCAGAAGACAGAAATCTTCTGGGTTGTTGCGCTGTATAGTCTGGTCGATGTTTACCAACGTTTCAGAGATCACACTGCCTCCGTCAGACAGAAATCTTCATACTCATCGCTGTGAGAACCTCAGATCTTATATATTTTTACTATTTAAGGCATCCATCGTATTCTACAAGTAATGGCAATCGAAGTCATAACCTGCAGAACCTCATACGGGTGGAAGGCATAAATGCAAAAGGGTGCAACGTGTCTCCCTGAATGGATCACAACAGCGTTGTCGTATAAACCTTACTGATGTTTACAGCTCTTAGTGAGATGTTTAATTTCTTAGCTTCACTGGAGCAGAGACCTATTAGCTGTCATCACAACTCGGACACCAGAGTTGGATTTGGAGGGGTTGAGTTCTTTTTATTACTTGCCAGTTTTTATTTCTGAAAATTTCTGTCTATATTAAGTTTGTATTTTGTATGAATTATTAGTACAGCAGAATCTAATGGTCTAATGAATGAATGATCTAAAATTTCAGGTGTTTCAGCTGAGAGCAAAATAAAGAGGGCACAGTCAGTGGCTGCGTTACTAGAGTCATTTCGGGCGTATGTGCGACAAGACTTCAAGCCGAACATGAAGGCACTACAGAACCTAATGGATATGGGCTTCTCGGAGGAGGATGCTCGAGATGCGCTGCGTATCACGGGAAACAACCATTCTGCCGCAGTTAGTATTGCCTTATTTTGTATTCATAACGAGGGGGATGAGTTGCGATGTTTACCCTAGTGCCAACTAAGGAAACTGGAACTTTCACAATCAACGGGAGGGCGGTGTATCGAGTAGAAAGGTATATGCACTCCAGCGGAATATACATATTCTCCATATTCATTCTTTGTCGTGAAATGATTTACGCATACATGATACCACCTAGAACAGCTGTCACTGGAGCTTAGAACTGTTCAGTTCTCAAAATCCTCATGGATCACAGAATAAAATGACCAGAGCTCGTTGGACGATGGGTGGTTCGTCGTGACGATGCCATACCACATGTTGCGAACATTGTCGTGGAGATTTTGACAAATGAAGGCATTTGTTGTATCCCCCACAGGCCAGATCTAGCGTCATGTGACTACGTTTGGTCCCTACGCTAAAAAGGCAGCTTCCAGACCACAGATGCTGCTGTCAGATCTTGATTTAATTTTTTCCGCGTCACACAAATGGCACACTCATTGAGTCGTACACGGAAGACATTGGCTATTTTATTAAGAATAAATTGACATGCAGAAAGACGGCCACTGCTTCGACTGCGGTTTTTAACAACAGAAGTACAAAATGGCAGCTGGACACGTGAAGGGGACGGAGGTGTAATGGACAGGAGGACGAGCATGTACATGTTTTGGTGTTTTTTCTTTGTAGTGGATTTTCATTATTCATACCAAAAAAGGGATATTAATTTTTTAATTGTAAAGTCTCTGAAATGGCTGTGTAAGATGCAGGGTTAGTAAATTGACATTTTTCTGCAACTAAGTGTTTTCGTTGTACGGATAATATCTGAGCAACTGCAACGGAAATTGTCTTTTACTCGGTCGAAAATAACGTGATTATCACGTACCTCACATGCTGGGTCATAAATCAATGCATCCAGATATTATCCTTGTCTGAAGTGCATATAAGTTGTTAATTATGCAACCTACTGAAGCAAACTTTTTCCGGAAAATGGTTTGCTTCAACGACGCGCCATCGTCACAAACTTTAAGAATTGAGCTCGGCTACCGTTTGTTCACATCCGTTATAAGTAATTGAATGTTGTAACTGGTTTGGTTCACAGTGTGAATGGTTGCTTGGAGAAAGGCGCGCAAGCCTGGAAGATACGGACACTGGACTGGATCCAGAGGGACCCATTTATAAAGCCATAATGTCAAATCCAGCAATCCAACTCAGCCTTACCAGTCCAAAGATGCTTCTAGGTATGTTTGTACAGGACAGTTTATGTTGGAAGATTTGCAAGTCTTTTGTGTTAATGCTCTTCATTGCGCAGAGACCAGAGTTAAGCTGAAGTAGTAACGCCAAACTCACCTTCAAGATTTGAATTTTTTTTTTTTCAGTGGTCCAATTACAAAAATGCATGTTTAATATTAATACACTGAATTTGTTCACCATTAAAATAGTCGTGCACTGCCAGGTCGGGGACTTATTTTGCAAAATAATTTTAGTGTATCTTCAGTTAATCACGTACATGTTTTTCTTTCCCCCCCCACCGCCAAAAAAATTAGGGACAGGCAGTGCTCAGGCACTTGAAGAACGGGTCGTTCCCAGTATCCCAGTATATAATAATGATGACGATGATGCTGACTTAGTTTGTAGAGGAATGTAAATTAAGTCGTGGGCCAGCAGCAGTGTACGGATTGCTTGTTAAAAAAACTTTGCTGTAAGTGACGCATCGTTAATATGAGCGGGTGATGTCACAGCATTCCTGTCCATGTTGGAGGTTCCTAGCAGTGCCAACATGTGGATCAATGATCCGGACGCCTCGCCCGTACTGAGCCAGATCTTCAAGACGTACCATGCGGAGAAGCACGCTCTGCAGGTGAACCGTTACGTGGAGCAGCAGCAGCAGGCGTGGTCTGCCAGAAGATCCTGAGGGCGGGATCTGTTGGGCAAGCTCTAAGATTTAGACTGGTTTTGTACGGTAGTTTTTGAAGATGTCGGAATATCGCGTAGAAACACGAGCGTTTGCAGGTTTTCGGCTTCTTGCTGATAGTGACGGAAATCTTTCTGAACGGAATGCTGATGGTTGCATCCACACACAGCGTACGTCAACCCATATCATATGACATGATACGCCTTTTTAGAAACTTATTTTAGAGTAGATCGGGGGAAGTTGCCAATTTTTCTCTAGTTTGGCAGCATGCTAACAGATGGTGACATGAGGTGGTGTGCCAGTCCGTGGCGTCAGTTCGAAGAGAGGTAAACCGTTGGTGCAGTTGTGTGATCGGTTTATCGAGTTTAAGAGCGAGAAAAGCAAAGTAAATGTTAAAATGACAACCCTAAAACTACTGAAGACGTATTTTAAAGTAATAATATTGACTACAATGCATAAATAACTGCGAAAACTGGTATGGTTAACACGTAACGCACGTATCAAAGAAAGCGTCGTCAGTGATCCGAGCTCTAGTGACGTCATATTAAGTCATGTGACTCCAGTGGCGTCACACCCCGATCATCGGGTAAGATGACTAGTTTAAGCGTTCTCTTGTATTTATAATTTTTATGCAGAAAATGCCCAGAAACTATACCAGGACCTCTAACAGAGGTCAGTGGAGTCAGGATAGCCTCAACACAGACAAAGGTACGGCAGGATCGGATTGGCTAGACTCATTTTTGGGACGATATCGTGGATTAGTTAGGAAAAAGCTC